ATGACCATAACCGCTTCGTACTTCTACAGAGTCAATCAGCACTTCCTCACCAGGGCCCAGCAGAGGGCACATTTCAAAGGGGACCCTAATGTCAAAGCAACTGAAGTCATGGATATGACTCTTTTCCTTCCCCACCAGGAAAAAAAAATACCCTGGGAATGTTTTCACTTTAGGTTTTTTCCAGCTATTCTTTCAGCTTATTTAAACATATCAAAACATCATCAAAACAAAAATAAAAGAATTTTCTTGAAAGCTTTACATAATAGAATTTTATTTTTAAAAAATCATAGTTAGGTTTATATATGTAATTTTAATATTTAAACTATTAATTTATTGTATACCTAAAATACATCTCAATTTAAAAGAAGAATGAACAGCCAGCTGGTGTGACTCAGTGGTTGACCTATGAACCAGGAGGTCACAGTTCAATTCCCAGTCAGGGCACACGCCCAGGTTGTAAGCTCAATCCCCACTGTTGGGTGTGTGGGAGGCAGCCAATCAATGATTCCCTCTCATTGATGTTTTTATCTCTCTCTCCTTCTCCCTTCCTCTCTGAAATCAATGAAAATATTTTAAGAAAAGAATAATCATAAAATAATTTACTTTGGCCATTTCATTCATTCACCAAATATTTGCTGAATGCTTTTTCAAAGAACTGGAAATAGATCAGCTAACATCCCTGCTCCTGTAGGGCTTCATTCTAGTAAGGAAAAGATAGGTGGTGTCAAGGGCTAATGAAAAAAAAAAAGCAAAGTAAAGGGACAGACAGGGCAAGAAGAGGTGCTATTTTATCTCTGGTAGAGAGGATCTCTCTGATAAAGCGACATCTGAACAGAATGTGAAAAAAAATAGGGCAAAGCAAGCTTTAAATAATGCACTAGATCGAATTAATTTAATTGATATCTTCAGAGCATTTCACCCCAAAGCAGCAGAGTAAACATTCTTTTCACGTGCACATGGTACATTTTCTAGGATAGACCACATGTTAGGACCCAAAACAAGTCTCAGTAAATCTAAGAAGATCGAAATCATATCAAGCATCTTCTCTGACCATAATAGTATAAAAGTAGAAATCAATCACAAGAAAAAACTGAAAAACACACAAAGACATAGAGACTACGTAACATGTTACTAAACAATGAATGGGTTAACAATTAGATCAAGGAAAAAAATCAAAGGATTGTAAGAAAATATTACAAACAACTATATGCTAATAATTAGACAAATAGGAGGACATCTATAAATTTCTAGAAACATATAATCTTCCAAAACTGAATCAGGAAGAATCAGAAAAATCTCAATAGACAGATTATATCTAGTGAAATTGAAGCAATACTCAAAAAACTCCCAGCAAACAAAAGTCCTGACTGGATGGCTTCACAGGTGAATTTTACCAAACATTCAAAGATCTAACACCTAGCCTTCTCAAACTATTTCCAAAAATTCAAGAGGAGGGAAGACTCCCAAGCTCATTTTATGAGGCCAGCATTATCCTAATTCCAAAACTAGGTAAGGAACTGTAAAGAAAGAAAATTATAGGCCAACATCTCTGATGAACCTAGTGTTAACATCCTCAACAATATATTAGCAAACCAAATCCAGTAATATGTTAAAAAGATCAAACACCATGACCAGGTGAATTTATTCCAAGGATGCAAGGTTGGCACACTATCCTAAAATCAATAAACATGATACACCACATGAATAAAATAAGGGATAAAAATCATATGACCATATCTGTTGATGCATAAAAAGAACTTGATAAAATCCATTTATGACAAAAACTCTCAGCAAAGAGGGAATAGAGGAAACATACCTCAATATAATAAAGGCCATATATAAATCCATAACCAACATCATACTCAGTGGAGAAAACTAAAAGTATTTCCCTTACTATCAGGAACAAGGCAGGGATGTATGCTTTCAACACTCTTATGCAACATAGTACTGGAGGTCCTAGCCATAGCAATCAGACAAAAAGAAGAAATAAAAGGAATCCAAACTGGAAAGGGAGAAGTAAAACTATCATTATTTGCAGATGACATAATCCTATATAGAGAGAACCCTAGAGACTCCACCAAAAAAACACAACTGATAAATGAATTCAATAAAGTAAGATACAAAATAAATATCCAGAAGTCAGTTGCATTTCTATACATCAATAATGAACTATCCAAAAGGGAAACTCAGAAAACAATCCCATTTACAATTGCATAAAAAATACCTTGAAATAAATTTAACCAAAAACGTAAAAAAGCCTATACTCGGAAAATTACAAAACACTGAAGAAAAAAATTGAAGAAGGTATAAATAAGTGGAAGCATATACCATGTCCACGGAAAGGAAGAATTAACATCATTAAAATTTCCATACTTCCCAACGAAATCTATAGATTCAATGTAATTGCTATCAACATACCAATGGCTTCTTTAAAAAAACTAGAATAAATATTCCAAAAATTTATAATGGAACCACAAAGAACTCTAAATAGCCACAGCATCTTGAGAAAGAAGAACAAAATTGGAGGAATCATGCTACTTGATATCAAAATATACTGCAAGGCCATAATAATCAAAGCAGCATAAAAGGAGACATATAGATAAATGGAACAGAATAGAAAGCCCATGCCTTTATGGTCAATGAATATTTGTCAAAGGAGGCAAGAACATATGATGGGGTAAGTCTTATAATAAATGTTGTTGGGGAAATTAGATACATGCAAAAAAGAAAAAAAAGAAAAGAAACTGGACTGCCTTGCTACTTGCTACACCACACACAAGAATAAACTCAAAATGGATTAAAGATTTAAATGTTAGACTCAACACCATAAAATTCTTAGAAGAAAATACAGGCAGTAAAATCTCAGACATTTCTCATAGCAATATTTTGTATGTCATATCTCCTTGGGCAAGGAAAACAAAAGAAAAATAAACAAATGGGACTATATCAAACTCAAAAGTTTTTGCACAGCAAAGGAAACCATCACCAAAATGAAAAGACAACCCACTGAATGGGAGAACATATTTTCCAATGATATATATAATAATTTAATATTCAAATTTATAAGGAACTTATAAAACTCAACACCAAAAAAACAAACAATCCAATTAAAAAATGGACGAAGGACCTGAATAGATACTTCTCAAAAGAGAACATACAGACGGCCAACAGACATATAAAAAGATGGTCAATGTCACTAATCATCAGAGATATGCAAATTAAAACCACAATGAGGTGTCATCTGACACCTGCCAGAATGACTATCATCAATAAATCAACAAACAAGTGTTGGTGAGGATATGGAGAAAAGAGAACCCTTGTGCACTGTTGATGGGAATGAATATTGGTGCTGACTGGAAAGCAGTATGGAGTAACCTCAAAAAATTAAAAATGGGATTGCCTTATCCCCAGCAATTCCACTTCTTGGAATTTATTCAAAATAACTCAAAACACTAATTCAAAAGAATATATGCTGGGTTCATTGCTATGTTATTTACAATAGCCATAATTTGGAAGTAGCCCAAGTGCCTATCAGTAGATGAGTGGATAAAAAACAAAAGTGGTACATTTACACAATGGAATATTACTCAGCCATAAAGAGAGAGAGAGAGAGAGAGAGAGAGAGAGAGAGAGAGAGAGAGAGAGAGAGAGAGAGAGAGAGAAATCTTACCTTTTGCGACAGCATGGATGGACCTGGAGAGCATTAGGCTAAGTAAATAAACCAGTTAGAGAAAGACAAATACCAATGATTTCACTTAAAGTTGGAATCTAGTGAACAAAATAAACTGCCAAACAATATAGAAACATTATGGTCATTACCAGAGGGAAATGGGGCTGGGGGAGGCAGGAGAGGGTAAAGGAGGGGATAAATGGTGATGAAAAGAAACATGACTTGGGTGGTGAACACAAAATACAATACACAGATGATGTATTATAGAATTGTACACCTGAAATAATCTACTTTTATTAACCAATGTCACCCCAATAAATTCAATTGAAAAACAACAACTCTGGAATCTAAAGAACAGAAAGGACATGGGAGTCTAAGTCTATAATAAAAAAAGTAATTCAAGCCCATGATTTGCTTAATCCCAGGATATGAACACAGGAGAGCACCTGCAGAGTGAGAAATAGGCCATTTCAGGAAACAAACAAAACAAAGTATGATGGGTAATTAAAACATTTTGAAAATACTACTGATGGATGCACAATATTATACATATAACCAATGCTGCTGAATTATATACTTAAAATAGCTAAAATGGCATAGTCCATGTTATATATATTTTATCACAGCAAAATAATTTTAAAGGAAGTATGATATACAATATGACACAAAAATACCATATCTTTTTCCAAAAAAAAATTTGTTGAGAGTGGAAAGTAAATGTTCTCACCAAAACAAAAACACAAATAAATAAATCTTTAATAACAGCTTTATCAGCAGTATTAGTTTAACATCCAAAACAATTTCAACTAAGAGTTTTAGACCTAATCCACCAGTTTGGATGTAAAAAAAAAAAAAAAAAAACAGGGAAAGGTAGAGGAACAGGTAGAGGAACAATCAACAGTATTTTTCTTAAAAGAAACAACAACCCTCATATCCCAAATGTCATACCCAACTTCTTTTTGGCAAGATCTAGCAACCACTTAGTCACTCCAATGTAACTATAAGAATGGTTTTTCTCAATGGAAACATGATATAAATCTTGCAGAACTCAAGTTTCCACTCTGGCTGTGTATATCCATCACATGAAACCCTTTTGTCATCAAAGATCCATTTGCAGTGAAAATAGTAAAGGAAGAAGGGAAAAACAAACATGCAAAAATGCAAATTAGTAGTTTAAAGAAAAACAGGGCTCAACTTTCTAAACATAATTTAAAACTTGCAAATACACCCAGGCTAAATGCTTATGCAGAGGTGAAGAATGTTAAAAGCACACTGTGACACATTTTTTAAAATGAATTAATTTTTTTTGAGAATGGTTAATGCTTGATACCTCCTTCATCAGACGGTCTTGTCACCTCACTGCTGCACGAAAAGCTAGGGTAAATCTCGGATATTTCTGACTTGTCATCTCCAAGAACTGTACCAAAAGTACTGCTCGAATGAGATCGAGACCGCTGTCTCCTATATTGACTTGCCTTTTCTATATTGGAGGGAAAATATTCGTACTTGTGATTAAGTGAATTGAAAAACAAAAGAAACAAAAAATTACTTAAAAGTTTAACAAGAAGAAAAGCAATCTCTTATTCAATAATAATCCAAAAGCTCAGTATTACAGATTCTAATCCCCTACTCCCAAACTTTAACATACATTGTATCAACTATATTAATGACTTAATGACCATTTACACTAATTTTCAAATCCAGATTTTAAAAAAGATGTGAGAGATGGGAAATTGACAAGAACTAATAAAACATTAGTAAACTGATAAATTTCTATCAAACATAATGACTGATTATAAATAATTGTTTTTAATTATTTGTAAAATACTGTGTGTCACCAAGCACACAATATTTGTTGCCTTTTCTATACTTTTAGAAATTTAAATGCCTATTTGGATGCTTAGATGGATCAAATTGACTATTAAAATTCCTATTTTGCCTTGAGCTTTCAATTTTATCAATGTCAGCAATTAAATCTAAAGTAAAAATCAGAGGAGAGGGCAAGACCTAAGTGATATGATGTCTATTTTATTGTTTAAAATAATTGCGTAACTGTCAAAGCTTTGGTTTGCTAAAAACACTCTGAAAGTCCAAAATAGCAAACAACGTTATCACTATATTCAAATATCCAAACCATTTGGGTTTTTGTTTTTAATTAAAAATATGCAGTCTAAGTTACAAGTCAAATAAACTTCCTATGGAAACTATAAACTTTACATTATATAAAAACTCAGAAGTAAAATTTAGGGATACATGAAGGTTTATTTTAAGACATTTATGATGCTATACAGGTAACCTCCCCCCTGTTTTATATAATTAGAGGCTCAATGCATGAAATTTGTGCAAGAGGCTCGGCCCTCACAGCCTCGGCTTCATCCAGAAGGTTGTCCGGAAGGACGTCCAGAAAGTTGTTCGGCTGCCCGGTCTAATTAGCACATTACACTATATATATATATATATATATATATATATATATATATATTCTTTAAATCTACCTTTAAAATATTGTAAGTGTTTTTCATGAAACAGATCTCCTTTACATTTTGGCAGTTAAGTGCAATCCAAATAAATGCATTTGAAAGCCCATAAAACCTATAAAATAATATTAATCAAAAGCAGATATAAGTTTTAGATGCCTTTTTTTCCAATTTTTTGGTTAATCCTTGTCTAAGGATATTTTTCCATTGATTTTTAGGGAGATTAGGAGAGGGAAAGGTAGAGAGAAACATTGATGTGAGAGGAACACATCAATTGGTTACCTCCTGTACAAGCCCCAACCAGGGCCCTGGGCTGGGGTGGAGCCTGCAACCAGGTACATGCCCTCGATCAGAATTGAACCCCGGGACCCTTTGGTCCACAGGCCGATGCTCTATCCACTGAGCCAAACTGGCTAGGGCTCTAGATTCCTTTTTAAATGAATCTAGAACAAACTAATTTGGATATATTAAAATGACCTTTTCAAGTTCTGTTTTCATAAATGATTAATGGAATTTTAAAGCAGCCTAGCACTTTTTTAGTTTTTTGAATCCTCAACTTTAAAATGTACATTACACAATGAACTTCTACAGTTCTGAGTAGCTCCACTTTGAGGACAGAACCATGTAAATGGGGAGGAACTCAAAATGCAAGCAGTACCAGAGAGCATGTGTAGACTTCTAGACTGAATATTGTCTTCCAGGGGGTCAATGTCGAAGATGGAGCCAGGATCTGTGCGCCAAACTTTGAGGTCTTTTACCAAAAGGAAAAAATCAACAAATCAAGAATGAATAAAAAAAAGTCAGCACCAAAGAGAGTCAAGAGAAAATCATGAAAGGGACCTATGTAAAGAGAGAACATGTAATAAGCAAACACACTGCAATGCAGACGTCAAAGGAGAACAAAGAAAATTTCCATTCAGCAGGATTTGTTAAGAAAACTTCAGGATGAAATGTAAGCTGCCCTGTTTGTCTTCATTGCCTTCCCCCAGCACACATGCACACCAGACAACTCTGTGCGTCTCCCCACATCCCTGAACTCCGATCTCTCATGCTTTCCACACCCTGAAACAGGTACAATGTTTAATGAAAACTCCTGATTAAAGACATATGACTAATTCTTTATGTGACCGAGAGGTTTTTGTCTGAGAAAACAAAACCAAAAATTCTCTCCCTCTAACAGAAATAAATGTTTAAAATGTAGGCAAGTGGTAGCCCAGTTTTCATTGTGAGCCAAAGAGCACAAGCTAACCCACATAAGATACATTTATTTGAAAAGTACAATAAAGCAAGGTACCGAGCAAGGATGGAGGGATGGGAAGATGAAAAGAAAGAGCTGTCTGCTCTCAGTGGACCACAGATTAGTTCACCGCTATGGTCAGTAATTTATTCTCTTATTTTAGTTGGGGGCAAAAAATCTAAATCAATAACTTTCATGTTTTTAGTCTCTCTACCTAATGGTTATCAAGACCTAAAATAATCTGTACAGTGCTGTACCAACAACAGGAAAATAAAAACCTAGCTAAAGATGTGTGGCAGAAATGGAGCTTTAGTAAAAACAATTAATTAGTAACCTGGAATTGGAGATCTGTTTGTCTGTCTTTAATATTATATAGTGCTTACCAGGCACTATTCTCAGTTATAACATAACTCATTTAAGCTTCACAACATCGAAAAGTAGGTATTCTTACTATTCCCATGTTATAGATGAAGAAATTGAGGCAAGGAGATTGAGTTAGCTTAGCCAAGGTTATGAAACTAATAAGTAGCAGAGCCTCCAAAAATTGGCTTAGTCTGAATTACTCAGAAAAACTCTAAACCTGTATTTCTATGCCTGGTTCAGAAAGTTTAATGTTTGTTGAATGCAATATATTTTGTGGTTTCATAGGCAAGTCCTCAATGGAAAACAGTTTCCCCCAATTAGAAAAAAAATAAACTGACCTCTGGATTGCCCAGAAAGGTAATAAGTTAGAGTTGCATATCTTATATTTTTAAACATTAATAATTTCTATCTCAAAGGTAATGAGTACTGAATTCTGAGAGCTCGAAGTCCAAACCATTTCATGTTTAACAAGAACCTCACATTCATGCTTGGCCCTGGGTCTGGGGTGGGCGCCTGGTGAAAGCTGTGCAGATGTCACCCTCCTGGGAATCAGACGCTCTGCTCTTAGGAGATGTCGATACCAAGCAAGAAAACTCTCCAACGCTGTGATACTTTTGATAAAACCCTCACTATTTATCCAACTGAATGTGATCATTTTAAGCAACCAACTCGGGAAGATCAGCAAAGCTATCAACTATCTGCAAATATGCTTGGGATCCCTCTTTGGAAAACACTTTCAGAGTCACTTAACCATCCAAGTAACTTGCTGCCCGACTTCAGTACTGGCGTTTTACACCAAGACATGAGCCTGTCAAATACACAGTTTCCTTGCCCATCTCATCTCTAAATGGCCTCTCAGTAGTTCCACAAAAGCTTTACATTTGAAGATGATGTAACCTAACACTGAGATAGCTGAGAGGCATTGTTACACGGTTACAAAAAAAAATATTAATAGAGCAATGTAATTGGACTAGCTATAAAAATTCCGAGGCTACCTGCTCAGAAGAAGACAATAGTCATTTGGAAGTAAGGGTCGTTGATATGTACTGAAAATTTAATAATTTTCCTGCCTACTGCTGTCTTAGACTTCATGGGATCCTTTCTGTCTCAGCCCCTTTCAAACACTATGTCCCTAAGACTTCCCCCGACTGACTGGGAGGAACAGCAGGAAAAGAAGGTTCTTTCCTCTCTGATGTACGGGACTGCCAGACAGCTCTCGATTATCCCAGTTCAGAGACAATATTCAAAAAATATCACCTATTCATACAATGGATCAGAATCTCTCTGGGATTTCCATTTGTGCTAGACAGTAACTGCAGTACAACATATTGATCAAATACATAAGGTAAAGTAAAACCAAAGTAATTGTTCAAACCGTGTTATCACCCATGTTCGATATTGGGCTGCTTCTTTGCTTAACAAGTAGAAACACTCTTAAGGCCAGAAAGTTATTAAAGACAGAGTGTCCAATTACAGAAAGGATTGAAACGATGCCTGGCGAATGCCATGAATCCCATTCAATGTGGTGCATCAGTGACACTTTGGTCCATTTTCAATTGGGCACCACATCAAACATGGGAGGAGCTGTCCAATGAACAAGGAGGCCACTTCTAAAGCTTGGGCAAGCGTGATCTTTGTGACCTGCTGAGAAGGAGCGCCAGCTTACCAACAATGATGCCAGGTCTCCTGTCCATCTCCACGATGTGAGGGTGGACACCTTTGTAAGCGGCATCGCTGACCACCTGGGTGTTCTTCCTCACGCGCTCTGTCACAGGGTCGTCCACGACAGGGGTAAAGCCCCTCCCCTTTGTCTTTTCAAAATCTTCATGATATTTGACCTGAAAAGAAGGTAAAATAATATTAACTCCAGCTGTAACTTCCTATTATTCCATAGCTCACACATTTTTGACATAACGGCAGCTGTCACTGCACCAGCTACATCTAGCTTATTTTCTGCATATATGCATGCTTTTTTCCATTCCAAATACAACATCTGAAACTTCAGCTTCCTAAGCATCAGAAATCAAGTGCTGATATATTCACAGTTTGGCATCATTATGGTTAGCAGTTCTTTTAAATTATGTATAAGCCTGTATACCAGTAAGAATTTTTAAAAGATAGAAATGTTTTTATAATCCTGGTTCCTCTCTAAAATATACTAATTTAGGTACAAATTCATTTCCTATTCCTTAACCTTTAATATGCAATAAAATGATAAGCTAATTCCACACTTATTCAACAAGACTATTAAAATTAGGTTAAAAGAATTACAAATAATCATAATTATTTGTAATTAATTTTGTAATTATGTAAAAAAATGTATATATACTTCAAAATATGCACTTTTCAGGTTCTGAAATTGGATTAGGGTGATGGTTGTTCAACTTTGTAAATTATACAAACCATTGAATTGTACACTTTAAGTGGGTACACGTTATGGCATATAAATCATATCTTATGAAACTTTTTAAAATACATACATATTTTTAATTTTCTTTGCAACATGCCAACACCAAACTCTGCCTTAAAATTAATTAGAAATAAGTCCAGCCAAATGTTTTTCATAAAATGCATTTATAATAGTCATGTTAGAAATAAAAACACACCCAAAAATCACAGAGAAAAATCTTTTTATTAGAGAACGTTTCCATTACATTGCAGTGCGATTAAAAAGTCTCCCCAAAAGCACGGGCCCATCCGCATTTCCATGCTTTGTTAGTTATCCAGGTTATTGGTGAACTAACGCCGTCAGCACACTGGCTGGTGCCCCTCCTTAGTGTGTTTTAGTTGTGAGAAGAAGGATCTGGTTGTACCCTACCATTGAGATATGATTTTGCGCTTCTTTGACATGTCTCAGACCAGGTGTATCTAAAATAAGACTTGGTCTACCTTTCATCTGTTTATGGTCCTGAGTATATTTTACCTGCAAAGTAAATAGCAGAACAGACTTGATAAGACAATTACAATCTTTAAAAATTACATAACTCTTTCAAGTTTTCCAAATGAGTGAAATATATACAACACATTCTACCTTATTCTCCCAGGTAACCTGTTTAGTGAATTAATTTCATTCTAGAATAACAGTCTAAAATTTTATAAATGTAAATTTATACAGTGGCAGCTTTTGGAAATCATCTGAAATAACACATGTACTTACTGCATAGATCCCAAATGTTTCTTGAAAATATATTTTGTTTTCACAAGAAAAAAAAAAACACAGGACTGCACATAAATAATAAATGATTCACCCTTTGTGATAGTCCAAAAGGAATAAAACCACTTGCCGAACTAATATTTTCTTGATTCTTCTTTACTCTTTCCATCTCAGGAGTTACGCTTAAAGCTGTAGCTCTTCCCAGCTGACCTTTATAATAAACCTATCATTTCAGAGAACAAAAAAAATAGTGTAATGTGAATCCATTCAACTAAATAAGAGTCTCAAAGTATTTAAAGAACTAGCCAAAAAAAGAAAACTATGAAAAAAGAGGTTGCTATCTGATGTGTAGTCGTATTTTAAATGCTTGCACCTTAAATCAATCTATTTTAATTCATTCCATAGCATTGAATCACTGTGCATGTACTTAAATATATGGGCATACCATCAGTAACACTGTAATACGCATTCCATCACAAAGGAATGTGATAAGAAATGTCTTCATGGATATTACTTAAAGGTACTCCTGCCCATACAGAATGGTACCATTGTGGTTTCTTAATAATTAATTGTGGCAGATCTTTTGAAAGGTTATCTTTAAATAGGGGGCATGATCTTGCATAAAAAGGCCGGTGTGCTTCCCACTACTCTCTTCCTCCTTTTCAATAACCATGTCCCTTTTTGAGAGTAATGGAGTCAGTCACATCCAGTGCGACTCTAAACGTATCAGGAAAAGATGAGCATCTACTGCTCCAAAATATAGTTGTCGGGAAAAGTGCCAAACAGTAAGATGCCTTTGCTTTATAATCTGGTCCAATGACTTGAAAGGTGTAAAGAATACAAGGTTTCTTTGAGCCTAATAGATTTCCAAATTTCCTCCTCCACAGAACTCCATCTATATGTTAATGACTTCAAAGAAGAATTCTCTCAGTGAACTGCGTCCATGGATTACATAAACAGCAAGGAGCTGGAGCAGGCTGGGAGTTAGTGTCTTAGTAAAAACTGAAAGCCCCTACAAGGACCCTTACATGGGCCTGTCTCAGGTGACCTATTCAGCATACACACTTTATAATTTCTCCCCAGACAGCGTCCAAAAATAAAGTAATAATAGCTGGGAGTGGGCTGACCAGGCTAGAGAGAACATGTGCAGGAAGGAAAGGGAGGGGGAAAGCTGATGGGTAGGGCCATGATGCCCGAAGCTGCCGCCAAGTCCCTTTGAGGAACCACAGCAAGCACAAGCAGGAAGACTAGATAAGAGGGATACACAATAACCTGCAGACAACAGTCACATGCAAAGTCCCTGGGAACTCTGGAAGGGAGAATGCCTGGCTACGCCCACAAGACCTAAGACCCTGAGACCTTTCCAAACCCAATGCCAACTCCAGGTCATGAACACTTGTACACATCACCCCTTCGCCGACACGCTGACAATACGTTGGGTACTATAAGAAAGAAGGTGCTAGGATCGCACATTGCTGATATTCCTCTGGTTTTCTTTGACTCTCTTCAGCTCTGGTGGATCAGAAATTGCAGTTGCCTGTTTAATCTCTCCTTTGTATTTTACCTGTGGAGGATAAACAAGAATGTTAATAGGTAGAATGCTGGTTTCCACCCAAACACCACAGAGGATAAGCCTCAAATTAACCCTGTCTTTTCACACACCTTTTCCACCGTAGTAGGTATGTTGACATCTACCGCTGGATTCTGATTCATCTGTCTTAGCAAGCACAAGTGTTGGTTGTGCTTTTTAAAAATGAACTTCTAATAAATATTTTTCTGTTCAATATCCAAACTAACTGCCAAAATTCCAGGGCTAAAAGTATTGGACATAGAAGGGGGAACCATCAGAAGTGAGGTCACATGCAGCCTGGGAAGACCAGGACTCTCTATCTGACCCAGGGCTTCAATCTTCAAAAATCAAAAACCAAAGAGGAGGGAATGGGGACCAGTGAAAAGGCAAAGGGACTAAGAAGTACAAGCTGTCAGTTATAAAAATAGTCACGGCACAGGGAACATAATCAATTATATTGTAGTAACTATGTACGGTGACAGATGGGTACTAGACGCCACCAAACCTCCCTGGCCCCTAACTAGTCCTTCAACTCCCCATTCCCCTCCCTCTCCCCGCAGGGTAGCCTCCCGTGGTGGGGCCAGACGGTGAGTGCTGAATCAAGCCCAGCTCCCTGGTTCCTTTATCCTCTTCTCCTGTCTTTAGGGTGGGACGCTGCCGTAAACCCTAACATGCATACCAGTTCCCCTCTAACTGGGGAAGGAACCTTGAGAGGGCCCGAGTTCATCCACTTGATTGGTTAACTGAAGCCTCCTTCATTTTAGTAAAATCTGATCTCCTTGGAGACACTTCAGTGAATTGTTTGGGATTTTTTAACGGAGGAAAGAAAGGCATCTGCAGGCGCTGATGCACTCCCTTGCCACTCTCCGGCTGCTGGCATGCACTGGACTTCCCATCAGTTCGGGGCAGGGCTGACGTCTGGGCCACAGCTAGTCCAAGCTTGGCCCTGCAGATCCAGTTAAGCTTCTGTCTGAAGTTCCACTTTCACCTGCTGCCCTGAGTGGCGGTGGACACCCCCAGCAGGCTGATACCGAGGGCCAGGGGCAGCCCACGGAGGCAAACAGGTTCAGAGCACGTTTCCATTTACAGGAAACAGAACACAGGCCTCTGAGCATCCACGGAGCACGTGCAGATGGCATGATGGGCAGAGTACCTCTCCTCCCAGGACAGTGTCTCCGGCAAACCCTGGGGACCACTGTCAACAATGCTGCTGAACGCACCCGAGAACACAGGGAGGCTCTGTTCATAACCAGTACATGCGTAAAGTGAATTACCTGGAGAGGCCATATTTGCTCCAAACCTGAGCTTAATGGGAGCAGGATGGCTGCCATTCAAAGTCTATTCACAGGAAAACAGGGCTGGGGTCTCTCATACAACAAACAGGCACACACAGATTATCCAAAAAGTCATTGTGTACGGACTGTACTTTGTTCAACATGGATTTTGGTTTTGTGGACTCTGAACACACTCATTCACCTCACAGCCTTAGATTTACCTATTTTTGTATACATATATATTTCTTCCTTTTTAATATAATGTCAATGCCTCGTCTGAATATCATCGGTCAAGAGCGGGGGGAGAACCAACCTCTTCATAGGAACAGGGCTGGGCAGGGAATGTTAGTTTCGGCTGCTTGCTTTCCTCATTCAGATTATCCCTATCAAAGCTCAGCTGGTTATCTGAAGCCAAACTACAGTAGCCAGGATCATGTGGTCCTTCTGGAGGCCACCTTCACCCCCACCCGCCCAGGCCACTCAGACTCTTTACATAGGCTACAGCGATTAGTTACCCCACTCACAGGGACGGGGAGCATGAAAATCACAGATAACCAAGGCATTTTTCCCCAAGGGGTCAGTTTGAAAGAAAGAAAGGAAAGAAGGAAGGAAGGAAGGAAGGGAGGGAGGGAGGGAGGGAGGGAGGGAGGGAGGGAAAAAAGAAAGAGGGAGGTAGGGAGAGAGAAAGAGAAAAAGAGGGAGGTAGGGAGAGAGAAAGAGAGATAGAGAGAGAGGGAGGGAGGGAGAGAGAGAGAGAGAGAGAGAGAGAGAGAGAGAGAGAGAGAGAGAGATTCAGAATAAAAAAAAAAATCCTCGCCCTAACCTGTTTGGCTCAGTGGATAGAGCGTCAGCCTGCGGACTCAAAGGTTCCAGGTTCGATTCCGGTCAAGGGCATGTACCTTGGTTGCAGGCACATCCCCAGTGGGGAGTGTGCAGGAGGCAGCTGATCAATGCTTCTCTCTCATCGATGTTTCTAATTCTCTATCCCTCTCCCTTCCTCTCTGTAAAAAATCAATAAAATATATTTAAAAAAAAAAAATCCTGAGTGTGAGCCAGGCTACGGGGTTGCCTCTGCATTTGTTCAGACAGAACAGCGACATGAAGGCCGGCAGACTGTCCTTGGGGTGGAGGAGAGGCCTGGTCACCTGTTGGTACAGACCAAGGGGCAGAGATGCAGAACGCTGTACTCTTTCCGCTGCCGCGGCTCCCTCCTGTGCACCCACAGAAGCTCCAAAGAGAGAGTCCACCCAGCCCAGCCTGTACACAAAACGTCTCCTCCTCAACTGCAGCCAGGCTCTTTGAAGGCCAACTTGGGCAAGAACCACAGACTCCCCTTTCCAAACACAATTATTGCCTGCCTACTGGCACAGTTCTTGTTTTAGCTCACTTTTTCTTTCAGAAAAACCAGAGAAGGCAGTATAATCTTGTGCACCTGAACCAGCCTGCAGCCAGCCAGAGCCCTCTGGGCAGGACCCCTCAGGGATGCACAGTGATGCATCAATGTCGATGTCATCACCTGGAATTTGGAAATGCAACAAGCCCCTCCCCACCTGCCACACAACTGCCCGTCAGCCCTCACCCTCCCACAGGGCTAGCCCACGTCCAGTTCTGCAGACACTGGCAGGGGGTGACAACCTCTCATCGCTGCGGGCTTCCTTCTTCATCCAGGGCTGAGACCTGCCGCCTCTCCGGGCTGAGACACGGCTAAGTTCACTTACACCAGGGGTCCTCAAACTTTTTAAATAGGGGGCCAGTTCACTGTCCCTCAGACCGTTGGAGGGCCGGACTATAGTTTAAAAAAAAACTATGAACAAATTCCTATGCACACTGCACATATCTTATTTTGAAGTAAAAAAACAAAACGGGAACAAATACAATATTTGTATTTGCATGTGGCCCGTGGGCCGTCGTTTGAGGACCCCTGTTTACGCTAACACCAGAGCCAACATCCCCTCCTTCACTAAGCATCACCTCAGGGCACAGTCTCAAGCCCCTTCCTTGGGGGCTTCGGTAACACACATCTCCCTGACGTAAGCAGCTAGTGAGATCTGCCTGACTTGAAAAGGGGAAAATGGAAATGATGGTGGGGAATTGAAATGAGTCACAGAACCAGCTTCTCAGCCCTCCACAACACTGTGCTTCTGCGAGGGGAGAGGCATCGGAAGATGTAGGAAAATGCGAGTGGAGGGGCCAAGAAAGGTAAAAGGGAAAAAAAACAACAAACCGAGTAGATATACCACTTTCTCTGCAAGTCACCTATGCTTCTCTCTTGCTTCTCCCCTGCCCTGGTTGCTTTGCCAAGTTCTCAGGTACAGACAGGGTCTGCTCTTGCGGGGGAAGCTGCTGCGCTGGGAGTCTGGGGAGTCCTGCTCATTGATGGTATTCAGGAGCAGGCATGAGGGTGGCCTTGGCAGGTGAGGGTGCCCAGGGTCTCAGGCCTGCTCCTTGGAAGGCTGGGCGAGCCCTTCCTCCTCGTCTCCAGGGGCCACACATGGCAGCGGTGGTAGAAGTCCAGGGCTCCATCCAGAGCATCGGCCCTGAGTGTTCAGCTCTTTGAGGTCATCACTGTGGCAGCGCCTGTTGCACACACACACACACACACCTCAATGCCCAAGTCACCCATGAAGTGGCGATGTCTGCCAGGCATCTTGTCCTTGCTGTCGGGAAGGGGGCCGTCCTACTCGCAGGTATAATCTTTCAGCAGCTCCTCCTTACATTCGGAATCCGTGTCCAGCAAGGCCTCAGGGTCCAGTTCCCAGGACAGAGACAGAGCCACTGGGATTCGTTCCAGGGGCTTTGGTGGCTGTGGGTTGGCTGGCGTGTTTGTGTTGGAGGGCTCAGGGTCAGCGATGATGGTGGGGGGTCACATGCTGCTTCTGCTGGGCCCAGAAAAAGGGCTGCTCTGTGCCCCCTGGGGGCCCCTGGTGGGATTGGCGCCTGGGGACTGCTGCCCACAGAGCCACACTGTACAGGCAGCTGCTGCTGCTGCTGTAGCTGGAAGGCATGAAACAAAATGGCAGCGCTAACTGTGGGCTTCTTGGTAGGTGATCAGGTTGATTTAATGTTCCCACTGTGGGCCGGTAGGCAGTGCTTGGGTGCTTGGCCGGCAGTGGTGGCCAGCACAGCAGCAGCTCAGGATGATGATGATGGTCCACACCAGCCAGAACACAACACCAGAGTTCGTAGTAGTAGGTGCAGCGCTGAGACTGTCCACAGCAGTGTCCTCTCTCACAGGCGTAGCTTTGATTGTTGGTCCCCACACAGGTCTCATCCTGTGGGGGTTCAGCCCTGGCTGACGGGGCTGGGCAGCACCCAGAGGAGCTCCATGCTTCCCTTCTTCTCTCCATCCCACCTCCTCCCCTTCTCTGCCTTCTCTAACACCATCTCTTCCTCCCTCTCTCCTCCTCGTTCCTTTTATTATTTTTATTATTCTGGAATATCTGTGAGTTTGAAGCCAAGATGATTTTGTTTTCTTACAGCTGATGGCTAGCATAATACTGAGCATGTATCAGGGGCTTACTAAGTATCTACTGGATAAATGAATAAATTAGGATAAAGAAATGGGAAGAAGCTAAAGATCTCTCATTCACACCATCCTCCAAGGCTCTTATGAGAACCAAGCAATGTTCACCCTGATTTTGTCCTCCACCTGGGAGAACTCACTGAAACTGTAAAGTCTTTTAAAATTATCTACTTGGAAGAAGAAGGCTATCATTTATATCGGTAAAAGTTCCATTAAGAGGGTCAAGAAACAGGAAAAATAACTATTGAGGGTAGCAACTTTGAAAGGATTTCTAAATCGCAGGAAGCCTGGTCTAGAATCTCAGCCCTGCCCTTATAAATTGTGGGTCCCGGCATGTTCTCTGGCCTCCCAGACTCAATTTCCCACTCCTGCAAACCAGAGAAATAAACTGTACCACTTCATGGGGTCACATAAGGCCTGTAGCACAGGGTCCACAGTAGAGGTACCTCATAAGCGTTAATTACATTGCTTAATTAGCAACAGATTACTGACTGGTCAAATAATTTTCCCACTTTATTTATAAGGTTTCCTGCCATGACAGTATGTCTTAGGACCCCAGGTCTTCTTTTGACCTACTCCAGCCGATCATTTTTCTCTCCGTTGACAGCAGACCCCCAACTCCCCAGGTCCTTGCCTGGATGTCGTTTTAGGGATCTACCAACTGAATCACGAGGTCCATGAGGACAGGAACTGGGTCTTATCCATCTCTGTGTACCAGTGACCAGGATAATGTCTGGCACATTGGTGTGCTTATTGAAGATTTTTTAAATAAACAGAAATGTCTAAATTATAGTAAAACAACCCCAAATTTCCTACACTCCCATGGGAGTGCCCCAGTTCATGCCCTCCCATGTGTGCCTGTGAGAAGGACCATCACGATGCAGAGGGTTCAAAGGTTTTCAGAGAGTGCTGTGATGAATAAGAATGTGTAATGTGTGATACAATAAGAGAAAACAGAGACAACTTGCCGTACTCAGCTGCTCCTGGTTCCTCCTCACTCTCTCTATCTCTGGTGTCATGCTGACTGGGGTTGCCCTGTAGCTCTGCTCTTTGTACTGGAGCTGGGAACACAGGGCAAGACAGCGTGAGGCTGCGGGAAGGAAACGGCTGCCCCTCCACCGGCAGGATTAGAGGAGATGCGCATGCTGCGGAGCATTCATTAGTTAGACTCTCCATCGGGATCCTAAGTGAAATATGCCTTGCTGAGAGGCTTCATCATATTGATCCCAGACTACGCTTTTTCTTGTCCAAATGTTTCAAATCCCACCTTTGGTTGTTACTCTTCCAACTGCATCATGTATTTGACCTTATCAGTGATAGCAAATGATTCCTTCTGTGAATGTATTTCCTCATTGCAGTAAAGCAACACTGATCAAGTTACCATTTTATATTTCAAAAGAAAGGGGGATTATATCAGCTCTATGCTTGTACCTTAGGGGTGAACGGTCACGATAGAAAGAAACCATGAACCTCACAGTTGTCTTCTCTGAAAACATCCAACCTTGGAAGGCTTGCCCTCTGGAAGAGCAGTAAGGAAGTTTTCCTGGCCTGCAGCATAGAGGTGCCTTTGCTGAGCCAGGGCTTCAGACCCATCAGTTGCGGTCAGCTTTCCTAGCAATTCCACACACCCCAGAAAATAAATGAGCAGCCAACACCAAGGGGGAAAAATGGTATGTCCATCAACTGAATTTTTGACAGGCAAAAGTAAAACTCACAGTTAAAATCCTATAAGGAACTCCGCAAGGACATGGTAGTGATTTTTTAGAGTTTAAATTTAGCATAAGGGATTTTTTTTCCTAAGAAATTACCAGGCCTACAGGGCCTGCAGATAAAATGGACTTGAGTTTCCACCCTCAGCAGTGAATGTGCAAATGAAGAGACATTTGATAAGTTTGGAAAATAAGCGACAAAGGGACAGGCCCCTTCTACAATGTGTGACCTTCTCTGTGCCATGGCGTGCATGTTGAGGGGTTAGGCAGACTCTGTGTCTGGGATAACTGTGTGAGTCAAAGTGAGGCAAGGTGCAGTGTAATCTCTATGGGCTGCAAGATACATGGAGATTGCTCTGGGTAGAGCTCAGAGGGGAAAATCTGTAGAACAGCATTACTGATGTGGAGAGACTAGTGAAGCTGATTTCTGGTGGATGTAGGTTTGGGGACATAAGGGTGATGTGGAGATTGTTCATATTTTGCATTCATCCATTTGCAAACATGCCAAGTGCTTTATAGGCAATATCTCACTTAATACTTTAGTCCCTGTGTTACAGATGAGGAAACGAGGCTTAGAGAGCCGGGTGGCTTATGAAGGTTATAGAACAAGTAAGGCCTGGAGATGGGATTGAGCCAACCGTCCAGGGTCCACATTCGTCCCCGCTATTCCAGTGTTACCTAAATATCCACCATTTGCAAACCACTTACCTATGTGTCATGCCAGATGCCATCTGTGCTGTGATTTATATATTTTTTCAGTTCTTTTACTAGCTATTCTTTTCAAATAAAGTTATTTTTAAGGGAGTGTTATGCTTCTATGATGAACACATTAAGACTGCTTAATCACTGAATCAAGGCCTAATAATCAGCAAGCCACTGAACTGCATCTATGTGTGAACCACATTTAAGGGACACTGTGCGTCTCCCAACTGCCCCCTTAAAGACCCCACCATCATCTTGTGCCACACTTCACCCCAAGTGCCCATCACACTAAGCCTCCTCCAGCTTGAACAAGCCTTGGATTCTGAACAGAATCAGTTTGCTCTGCCAGCAAGGCCGTTCCCCAGCAAACCCATCCCAAACCTTGATTAATTCTTCCTGCTCTAACTCAAATGTCAATTTTTTTCTCTCACTAACACAGCCTTCCTTCTCTGCATTTCCCTACATCATTTTGCAAGAGGAATTATTACTTATTATTAAATGAGATATTGCATGTAAAGTACTCAAAAAGCAGAGTAAACACCCAATAAATATTCGTTATTGTTATAACACTTAATGCATCATCATTACTTTTTCATGCCTGTTTCTCCTAGAGACCTTGAGAATATTCACAGCCTTAACTTTAGGGTTTGCCTTACTCATCTTTGAATTCCCCCCAAAATAAAAATATAGTAGGAATTCAACAACATGTTTGTGTTTTGTAAATAGGCAAATGCACATGAAGCATGGGCTAGGTGTCATGGAGGCCATGAAGGTGTGTGAGACCCTATCTCTGCCTTTCAAGAACTGGCCCTCCTGAATGGTATTCACCATAATGGGCCTCCACCTTTGTAAGTGTCATGTATGGTGCTAGCCAGTAAAACAGCAAACAATACTTCAGGAAATGTGATCCTACACTGCTGATGTTCTTCTGGTTTCCTTTAACTCCCTTTAGCTCTGGAGGATCAGAAATGGCTGTTACATGCTTTATCCCTTCTTTGTATTTCACCTGCATAATTTATTTTTAAAAATGTGGGTGTTATTCAACACAATGCTTTTAAAAAGTTTAAAATTCTTCATTTGTAACTATTGCATAATTGAAATTTCCTAATTCCAACATTAATTTTCCTTCAATGGGAATACAAATTTTTATTTGATCTGATACTTTCAGGATTCCTTTATATACAGTACAAATAAGTCCATATCTATTCACCTATCCATCATTGTAGGAGTTTTTTAATTAAAGTAAGAAAATGTTGTTTATGATAATAAGTTTTGTCATTAGGCAAATATAAAAAAACCTTGGAAAATACTTGAGGTAATATCATAATTTATTATTGTCTCTACAAAATGCAGTTTCTATTTATTGCTATGTTAAATTTACCACATATTTAAAGGCAAATGTCAAATTAAGTTAGCTACTGAATCTTGGGAACACTGCTTAGTTGACTAAGAGCATTCCAATAATCCAGAATAAGGAAAAAATAAATGTGGCCATGATAAAAGAAGAGAAAGGGGGAGGTAGAGGTACTTGTTCTAAAAACAGAGGCCACTGTGTCCTAATCACTATAGAAAAACCAGTAGCAGAAAGTCAGCAACTGTCTTCTACCTTCACAATCATGTCATGGAAAGCCAGACTATAACCTGGCACACAATTCACTGAAAAGCTCCTCTTTCAAATCTATTTAGAGCAGGGGTCCTCAAACTTTTTAAACAGGGGGCCAGTTCACTGTCCCTCAGACCGTTGGAGGGCCGGACTATAGTTAAAAAAAAAACAACTATAAACAAATTCCTATGCACACTGCACATATCTTATTTTAAAGTAAAAAAACAAAACAGGAACAAATACAATATTTGTATTTGCATGTGGCCCACAGGCTGTAGTTTGAGGACCCCTGATCTAGAGGAACATCAACCCAACAAATGGTAATACCAGAACACATTTATTTACGGGACAAGAAACAGCTCTTTAACTTATAAATGCCATCATATCAGGTTATTATTTTAATGTCTAAAATTCATGGAAGATTGGATTCAAAAAAAGGACACAACTATATATTTAGATGTGAAAACATAGGCTAAAGAGGCACACACTGAAGCTTAGCAAAGACTTAAATCTACAAAAAAAACACAAACACATTTTAGAAATCACTGGGTAGCATTTAAGGTGTTTAAAGCTAAAATCCATGCGGGGAGTCACAAAAAAGTGGTACCTAAATACCTCAGATACCATCTATGGCAGTGTCTATGGATTTAATGTGAGTAATAATGCCAATATTAGTCTGGATCCAAAAGAGTTAAATTGAGAGTATGCTGAAACAGGCTACCACTAAATAAGATTCAGAAATGGTTCTTAGAGAAAGCTAATAGCTAAAAGGCTTGTACTCTGGAGGTGGAAAATGTCGAGATCTTTAAATGTTAGAGAATCATATCTTGGTTTGACAGATCTAGCTAATCTTGAAAGGGCAACTTTCCATTTGAATACTAAGCAGGAGTTTATGGCCCAACCTCACAGAGATGCAGAACTATGCATTTATTGTGCTGGCAGAGGCAGTGGGACGCTGGGAGAACAAATGATATACTGTACTACTTGGTGTGATTTTCCTCGGGTGAGAAGTTAAACATGATTAAAGATGAACACTTTTGTTTTCCATGGGACTCTAATCAAAATGGCACAGTCATTTCACTGTAGGCAATAGAACTGCACGCTACAGAACATTTTTAACATTATATTCCACTACACTGATGTGTACATTTCAAATATTATCATTTGGAAGTGAAGGAAACAAACATTTTACACTTTTCTGCCAAACTAATTTCCTACCAGACCGGAGTGTTGCCTGACACAGGCTCTCTCCATGTGGGGCACAGCACATGTATATACCCTCAGCATTAGGCCCTTCTCCTTGTACTTTCTGCAGGAGATACCTTCATTCATGCTACAGAGATTTTATTACACCAGCATTCTGTAGATTTCTTATAAATTCATTTTGAAGTACATTTTACTACAGCATTAGTTGCCTTTCCTGCTTCTTCTCCCCAAATGCCAGCACACACTCATATTCTAAAATGAATGCCATGTAACTATTGGAGTTCCTGACACATGAATAGAATCAAGGAATTTTCACTTGTATTACTTAAAAAAAGGCTTGGCCTCCAAGGGTGAAGGTAAAGAGAAGGCCTAAATGGGGATTCAAGAAAAGAACCCTTTAGACTTCCTCGTCAACAAACTAAACATACATGGAAGGATGCCCATTGCTGTACGGATAGCAATTATCCATTGTCAATGTCAAGCAATTTTGTTATTATACCCATAACATTAAGCACCTCTCCAACCATCCCATCTAGCTCAAAAGAAAATGGAAGGGAAGTTAATTTACAAATGATAGTTAAAGTGTACGTTTTCCTTTGCTAGAAGCTGGAAGAGGTAGAGGCCAATGGGGCCTTTGAAACCTTCTCTTAAGACACCAAATAAATGTTCTAAGGCCTTTAATCATTCTCCAGGGCAAAATTCCTTTCTTCCAAGTTGCAGAGAGGTACTGAAATGTATCCTTTCTCTACAAAATTTAATACAGTGAAAATTCTGTTTAAAAAGATAAAATCTAGTCCTAGATGTCACGACTATACTATTAAAGTGATCGATCTCTTGTGCTCTATGATACAGCAAGATGAAACACTGCTTTAGGTTCAAGGGGAACAAGGCTACAAATTTCCTTCTGAAAGTTAGATATTTGATATTTGATGAAATAGCATGTCAACAAAGTAAAGAATAAAAGAAAAAGGCAACTAGTTTAGTAAAGAATGAAAAACATTTATCTAACTTACATTTGCTTTTGGAAAGGATAATTAATGCCACAGAGAACTTACTGAACTAATATTCTGCTGATTTTTCTTCACTCGTTCAATCTCTGGAGAATCTTTTACTGCTGTGCCAGCTCCCACTTCTTTCTTATAAAATACCTTTATTATAAGAGAATGAAATAATAACTACACGCTTATTAGCATTCAAACCCTAGACTTGATTTTTATAAAAGACAATTTCTCAAGTCTTGGAGTAATGTGATTACAGCTTCTATTTATGAGTACCATTGGCACATTAATCAATTAAATAATCCATTATGAGAATAAATGCCCAACTTTGGTTTCATAGGCCATAATCCTACAAGTAACCCTCTTATGCATGTCCTAAGGCATGCTTGGTATCTTAAATGGCTACAAATTATTTGCTCTAAGAATATGTTAGAGAACTAGAGTTTCCTTCTTCAAATATAAATGCCACATGGGTATTTGAGAAAAATCAAAGTGCACACTATAAAAGTTCACTAATTCAAAAACAGCATGAAATTTTAAGCAGGTGTTAATCTCCAAACACAAAAATGCCCTCGTTCTCTTTAAAGAAAATATTAACTCTATCATCATCAACATAATTCAGTATTTTCCTCATCTTCCATTTATTCATTATACTCCCCATGTCTTTCCACCCCACCAACATCTACGCCTTTCCAACATAAACCAAAAAAAAGTGCTGTACAAAAAATAACAAAAATAGAAGAATTATAAGAAAGCCATGAGGACAGAATGAATTCCTCTTTTGAAGTGTGATAACCCACATGTCAGGGTTGGGAGAGTGACATGAGAGATGTTCTCCAAAAGCTAGAAATCTAGAATACCATGAAATCACAGGACTTGAGAGCCAAAACAGCCTTTTTCTCAAACCCTGCCTTCCAACAGGACTCCATTTCTTAGCACAGCCTGACTATGAAGACTCAGAGGCACTTGCCCATTAGCACTTGTCAATTTTTTAGCAAGTAGAAAAATATTTCAGAAGTTATCAGACTTAATAGAATTTATATTTTGATGAGACATTTGCTTAGCTACTAAATGAGCTAAATTCTACATTAAAATACTGGCTGTATGGCTTTAGCCGGTTTGGCTCAGTAGATAGAGCATCAGCCGACAGACTGAAGGGTACCAGGTTTGATTCTGGTCAAGGGCACATACTGGTTACAGCTTGATCCCTGGCCCTGGTTGCAACCCATGCGGGAGGCAACCAATCAATGTGTCTGTCTCACATCGACGTTTCTCTCTCTCTCTCCCCTTCCATTCCACTCTCTGTAAAAATCAATGGAAAAAAAAATCCTCAGGTGTAGATTAACAAAATAAACAAAGAAAAATACTAGCTATATGGTCAGTTTTTTATCACATGGCTGCAAGTTATATCGTACAATTCAAGTTCATATATCCATTAAACATAGACCCAATTTCTTTTTTTTTCTTTTTTAAATATATATTTTCATTGATTTCAGAAAGGAAGGGAGAGGAAGAGAGAGATAGAAACATCAATGATGAGAGAGAATCATTGATCAGCTGCCTCCTGAACACCCCCCACTGAGGGTTGAGCCCACAACCCAAGCATGTGCCCTTGACTGGAATCACACCTGGGACCCTTTAGTCCGCAGGCCAACGCTCTATCCACTGAACCACACCAGCTAGGGCCCCAATTTCTTAATGGCGCTGATACAATTCTTATTGCTCAAAATAAATATATGAAAGTTTAAGAACTGGTTACAAACTAGTAAGCTTGGGAAGGAAATCTCTTCATCTGACTATTTTCATCTTCAAGATAAAGGTATGTATAGAAGATTAAGACCTCTTTTTCTGAGTGAAAATTAATAAATTCAGTTAAAAATAACTATAGCTTGTACTAAAGAAGAAAATTTGGATTTGTAATTCTAAAACAATCATAATAAAGAAATAAAGATAATACAGATAGAAAATTCAAGTAATGCAGAAAAATAAATGAGACAATGAGGGAAGGTCCTCCGTACAAAATACAATTTCAAGGAGGCGACTAAAAAGAAATAATGGCTACTCACTGAACTAATGTTTTGTTGAGTTGTCTTAATTCTCTGGATTTCAGGAGTATCTGCCACAGGAGAATAGTTAGAAAGCATCTTCTCTGCTTCATCTTTATACTTTTTCTAGAAATACGAACAGTTAATATCAACCTGAAACTTTGTGTGTGTGCACATATGAGACAGAGACAGAGAAAATGATAGTGATACTACTTCAAATTCAACTTTACCACCTGGCTGCAAGTTATATCATATGATTCAAAGCAGTTGCTGATGCAACAGCAAACATAAGGGGTATGCTAACCGAGTAAGCCAGCGGTCAGGGAGCAGCCTCACCTCTGCTCAGGCAGGGGTCCCACCCCTGTCCATTCCAGGCCTCAGGAAGGCGTGACCTCTAAGCCACTCTTTGTTTAGAACCTACTCTTTTAGGAGCAGTCCCACCCCTGCTCACAGTTACCCCATAGTTCCTGCAAGTAACCCAGCTCTCTATATCTTCTTGTTTTTGTGCTTCTGGGTTTATGTTCTTCCTACTTCAAGTAAAGATACATTTGAGCCCTGGCTGGGTGGCTCAGTTGACTGGTGTGTCGTCCTGTACACCAAAAGATTATGGATTCAATTCCCAGTCAAGGCACATACCTAGGTTTTGGGTTCAATCCCTGGTCAGGGCATATATGGGAGACAACCTGTTGATTGTCAATGCTTCTCTCACATATCAATGTCGCTCTCTACCTATCTATCTATCTATCTATCTATCTATCTATCTATCTATCATCTATCTATCTCCCTTTCCCCTTCCTTTCTCTCTAAAAGTCAATAAAAACATATCCTTGGGTAAGGATTAAAAAAAGATATATTTGATTAAGGTAATAGTGCCTTAAAATAAAAATTATTTTATTATTCCTTCTTACAGATAGGGAAACTGAGTCACTAAGTAAGAAGTGTCAGAACTAGGATTTAAAACCGGGCACTCTAATTCCAAAATCAGTAATGTTAACCATTATGACACACTATTGCTTGTTAGGAAAGGTAATTTTGTTCATGTTGAAATGCACCATAGCATCATTACATCCTCTAGAATTCCACTGTGTCCAAAATAATTTTTAAAAATCAACACTGGTAAGTTAAAACAGAAATTCTGACAGCTGAGGCATTATCTCCTCGTAAAGCCTTTACTCTTGATTCCTTTACCTTCTCATAGCATATATCATGGTTTGTCATACTCTCCTTGCATGGTTATTAAATTAACCTGTACCTCCCAAAGAGCAAAATCATATCTAATTTTGTATGTAAACAGGTGCTCAGGAAGTATTTGCTGAATGAATGAATGAATGAGCTTGGTATTCCTGAGATAGCAACTTCTCTCCACTAACTCAAATGGCTTTTTGTCTATTTTACATATTTATCTAGGACAGTGGTTCTCAACCTGTGGGTCGCGACCCCTTTGGGGGTCGAACGACCCTTTCACAGGGGTCGCCTAAGACCATCGGAAAACACATATATAATTACATATTGTTTTTGTGATTAATCACTATGCTTTAATTATGTTCAATTTGTAACAATGAAATTAGGGGTCACCACAACATGAGAAACTATATTAAAGGGTCGTGGCATTAGGAAGGTTGAGAACCACTGGTCTAGGATATTAGTTTAGCTGATTTAGTTCGAGCACTTCTCCAAGTTCACATGCCATCACGAGACACTGAGGACAGATGGACATGCACATCAGGGCCATCCCAACTGCTGTCATCTGATAGGGCTGAGAAGCAGACAACTCCTTTGACAGCTGACTCTGCCATCTTGATTCTCACATTTTTTAGCCAGCAGATGTTTAGACTCCTTGCTTATATTTTAACCAGAATTTAAAAAAATTTGGTTAAACGTTATTTTCAGCATAAACCCCATTAACTAAATTTAGTTCATCCCCTTTACTATTTATTTTCCACTGAGATTCATTCTTTTCCATGTAAATTTTACAGCAGGGAAATATTTCACTAATGAAAATTTTTACTCAAATCAGATTTTAATTCTTCCATTAAATATTTTCTTTTGTGGTCATTATTCCACCCATATCAAGTTTTCCTGAGGTTAAATTTGGCATCTTACCAAAAAAACAAAACCAAAAACAAAACTTAGTTCTTAATTTTTATTCACTATTAGAGGCCCAGTGCACAAAATTTGTGGGGTGTGGGGGAGAAGGGAAAGTTCCTCAGCTTGGCCTGCACCCTCTCGAAATCCAGGACGGCTTGCCCCTAACCACTTGCCTGACTGCCTGCTCACTCCTAACTGCTCACCTGCCTGCCTGCTCGCCCCTAACCACTCACCTGCCTGCTTGCTCCGTGTGCATCATAGCAACTGGTCGTTTTGGTCGTTCCGTTACAACTGTTACATATATATATATATATATATTTATATATATATATAGATTCACTTTCACTTTACACTTTGTGCAGTTTTACTCACTTTCAGTTTTAGTTGGAGCTATTTTAAAGATAATACTCATTATGAAATGGGGAAAAAGACAATTAATTCATTTGTAATCTTGTTTCTGTCGTGAACATTAAATCCAAGTATGCAATACAGTTTTCTGGTGTGTTTTTTAAAGGTCAAAATGTCCTTGAATGCAAAATAGGGGCTCCAGCAGGGGAGCTCTGACAGTGAATAATGTCCGTGGAATTGAATCTGCAGCAGTTGTCCCTTTCATTAGTGAAGTTAATTAAGTTTGGCCAATGGTTCCTTTACAATGGAGGGCACTGACTTTGAATTCAGTGCCCTCAAAAAGGTATCAATCATAGCAATGCACAAAACACATGGTGACTGGCTGTTAGGATACATTGTTCTGAGCAGCTTAACGACACCAACCTGGCTATAGATTTCCGATGCCCTCTTGGCTCGCAGCATATCCAGAACGTCCATGCTCACTTGCATTCCTTTCCCTTTGATTTCTGTTTCCAGATCTTTCTTATATTCTATCTAAAAGAGTAGAAAGGAATCTTCAGTGCTTTGCTTAACCTTCCAGAGCAATGTAGATATTTATGTGTTCAAATCTCAAAGCCACACACGTGGAAATACCATTTGTACTCGTTCTATATACAATTCAGTATGTTTTTTTAAACTTTGTATGTCATTCATTTCTTACCTGGCTGGCCATTCCGGATGCTTTCTTGGCTCTCTGGATATCAAGTGTGTCTGTGCTCACCTGCATGCCCTTTCCTTTAATTTCAGTCTCTAGATCTCTTTTATAGTCTTTCTGTAAAAAATAAAACATGCAATTAGAACTCTAAAATAATTTTTAAATTTTGATGTCATTTCACCATCAGAATCATGTCTTCTGGAGATACACTGGAACTTTAAGTCTTTTATTTCCATAGAAGTTTAGAATTTTTAACTTGTGGTAGAAACATGACTTGGAATGTCTTAGTCACATAGTCAGAAGGCTTTTTCCTACTCACCTGAATTAAGAAAGAAACCATAGTTAATCCAGGGGAAACTTTCTATATATGAGAAAATGGATGAACTATAGATTAATATATCACTCAGTTAATGAATATCAGATATGGGTTTGTAAAATTGTCACTTTTTGCTCTGTAATGAATAATTGCTTGTTGCTTCCCTGAAATCTAACTCCCCCCTTTCCCTGCTTTAGCTCCCTGACTTACCACTGTTTCCCCATTCTAAGCCACTCAGCTCGAGGGAGACTGCCCAGATTCATTGGCCCTGCTGGACTTAAATCGATCATTATACCTATCCCTGGCTCTTCATGATTGGTTCAGGGATAGGTGCATTATTTCTCCTCGCGAGCTATCAAAAGACTCTCTTTCCTTCGATCCATGAAGGAAGTGGCCCCAGGAGCTGCTAGATGCCTCTTTGCAAGCAGAAGAAGAAAGCCTGCCTAAGAACTAAAAGACAGAAACCAAGCCTGATTTACACAGTTTGCGTCCTACCTCAAGCTACGTCTAAGAATTCCTCTGCTGTTTGGTACAAGAACAGTAAATGTTCTGCTTTCCTGAGCTATTTTGAGTTGGATTACCTGTTACTTACAAAATATCAAAACTACACACACAAATGTCTTAAAAGACTCTTGTCACACTTTAAAACTAATTATTATAAAATTCAACAAGCTGTACTCATAATTGTATTCTTTTCTGGATGCATGCTACTCTTCAAAGAAAAATTTTACTAAGAGGAAGAAGTTATTGACAGTATCTAAATTACGCTTCTTCCAAAAACAGTTATTTCACATTGTGTTCACATACTCTAGATTTATAGATTCTCTAATTTAACATAAATGCTGTCTTGCTTATTTATGGGGTAGTGCTAAATTTAGAGAAGTTGTAAATAAAAATCCCAATCTCAGAGAAATAGTATATTTTTCCTTTCTTCCAGTCATAAATCTGCCTATTGTTACTCAGGGTCTCAGTTTCAATTTTCTGAATAAGAGTTCAAGTAATAATGTTTAACTTTTAAAAGAATAACGCTGAAATACTAGTATTACTATGTCTGTAAGGAGCTCTACATTTTTAGCAAGCCTCTGAAGGCCCCAAAACAAGACACTTCATTTGGAGAACAATATATGAAGGAACTCAGGCTCTAGTCATCGATGGCCACCAAGGTCCCATGTAGAAGGCATGTCATTTAATTTTCCAGTATGAACCTTCAAATCTAAAGCATTTTAAAGCCCATAAATAGACTATGTAGGACACCAGTTACATCAGCTATTTATTTTTAAAAATATATATTTTATGGATTTTTTACAGAGAGGAAAGGAGAGGAATAATGTTAGAAACATTGATCAGCTGCCTTCTGCATACCCCCTAATGGGGATATGCCCACAACCAAGGTACATGCCCTTGACCAGAATTGAACCTGGGACCCTTCAGTCTGCAGGCCGAAGCTCTATCCACTGAGCCAAATTGGTTAGGGCCATCAGCTATTTATTGATGCATACTAAAATACCCTAGAAAAAAACAACATGAAATAAGCCCCAATGCACATTCCTTTTCAGAGCCTCTGCCTGAATCATCTTTGCTAATGTCCCATTCACTAAAGATTAAAATCACAGGATCAAAAAAATCATGACCTTAGGTACTAGAAGGTTTGGCTATTGGGGACCAATCATTCATGTAACAATATACCACACTGACTTTACTTTAAAAATATAAATGTTGTACTATGGCAATGTCCCAAACTCTCGTTGAAAAGGATTTGATAACCTGTCAATTTGGGCAAAATGGGACATGGCTATGATTATATGCAAATGAGACTTTTGAACTGCAAAAATAACTACATCCCCAAAATTGATTTGGGCTATATGTAACCATAATACAGCTGACTCCCCTATGCCTGTTTTTCCCCTACGGTCTTAATAACTAAATTTGTACCTTTTTCTTATTATATAATCCCAAGGTACACAGAGAAATATAAATCAACATATCAATGAATAAACTAATCTATTACCTACTAAGAAAAGACCTGAAATTCCAAGTTTTCATAAAAGTCATGCATCATAGAAGCCTGTTCTTTAGGTAAAAAAGTTTGTTCTTTCCACATTCTTTTCTCCAGTAAAAGGATGCTTTTTTTTTTTTTTTTTTTTTTTGGCCTCAACTCAGTCTCACGAGGATAATATTGAAAACTCTTCTGCAGCCTTGATTTTCCCCTGCAGCATACTCCAATCCAGTACCTTGAACTAATATTGGATGTCACCCCTTCCTCAAAATAAAAACTTCAGAAACTTATAAGTAGTTATTTGATAGTACCTGGATAGTTAGTTATTCAGAAATCTAGGAAGATCGCCATAAGAAAGTACTATTAATCCAATAAATAAATAAGAAGAAAAAGTACAAGAAGAACCAACCATGCAAAAGACCAGGGGAAGGGCTTTCAGGAAGACAAGAGAGCTCTATAGAGACCCTAAAACCTATGGAGACACAAACTGGAAGCCTGTGAGGCTGTAGCATGATGAACATGGAAGAAGGGCGCAGTATGAGGATGGGCAGGAGGAAGGAGCATGATGTCTATGCTGAACATGACTGGGGAAAATAACAATTTAATTCTTTAAGGATTGTTCTGGCTGATAGGCAGAGAATGGATACTAAGGGGGCAAATTCTGGTTAGGAATCTATTGCAATAATCTAGGTAGTAGAGATGGTAGCTTGGATGAGGGTGGGGAAAAGGAGATGGTTTTAGGAAACCATTATGGGGGTGGAGTCAATAAAACTTGCTGACAACTGAATCAAAGTGACTTCTGGGATTTCATTGACACCCTTTGTTAAGAAGGAAGAAGATCTGAGAAAAAATTAAGGATTCTGGTTTGGGTGTGTAATGTCAAGTCTCTGTTATAATACACTAGGGGCCTGGTGCACGAAGATTCGTGCATGGGGGTGGGGGAGTGGGGGGGTTGAGGGGGCATCCCTCAGCCCGACCTGCACCCTCTCCAATCTGGGAGCCCTCAGGGGAGCCCTCTCCAGTCCGGGAGTTTCTGTCTGTCTTTGCAATCATATGAGCGAATTGTCTGAGACCCCAACCCAGTTTGGTTTGTTGCTCACAGAATAATAGAGGCATTTTTTTTTCTTTGCTTCATTGGTGGAGATTTCCTGGAAGTTTTAGGATATCTTCCCTTTAATTTTTCCTAGACACCCTGATTTTACTTATGTCTCTCGCCTTTGCTTTCTCTCTATCCCGCACTGCAACAGTAACTTGCTCCAGGCTCATTTTACTCTAGTGTCTGGGAGATCCGTCTGTCACCAGCACTACAATCCCCAGGATTCCTGGTGCTCACTGCACTCTGGGCTTCTGCTTCCAGTCCTGGGGCTGCCATCAGAACTACTATTCCCAGAATTCCTGGTGCTCCCCGCACTGGGAGCGACCAAGGGAACCACATCCCCCCAAGCTGCTGGCTCTCCTGCTTCTGCTCTCCACCTGGCGCCTGTGTATTCAAATTAACTCACCATCTTTGTTGGGTTAATTTGTATGTTCACCCTGATTGGCTGGTGAGTGTAGCAAAGGGACGGTCAATTTACATGTTTCTCTTTTATTATATAGGTTGTATATGTCATCTACATGTGGTAATACCTATGAAACACCAAAAGGTAAATTGTTACATCTTTTCATCCATGTTATAGAACACTTAATCCTATATAATAAAAGCCTAATATGCTAAGTGTCCAGTTGTCTGGTCGGCCTTTCAACCAATCAAAGCGTAATATGCTAATGATATGCTAAGGCCACTCAACTGCTCACTATGACATGCACTGACCACCAGAGGGCAGACACTCAATGCAGGAGCTGCCCCATGGTGGTCAGTGGGCTCCCACAGGGGAAGCACTGTTCAGCCAGAAGCTCTGAGCCGGGCTCATGGTTGGTGAGCGCAGTGGCGGTGGTGGGAGCCACTCCTGTCTCTGAGACATTCCCAGAGGGCTCCCGGACTGTGAGAGGGTTCAGGCCAGGCTGAGGGACGCCCCTGAGTGCACGGATTTTGTGCACCAGGCTTCTAGTTTTTTAATAAGAATGAGGAAGAATTATATGAAGTGACATGGAAAAGGGTCTATAATATTAAGTGAGAAAAGCAAGCACAGAACAAAGTACTAGTACATGTTAAGTTTTTAGTCTGTGTACAAATGTATGTTCCATATATATATATATAGAGAGAGAGAGAGAGAGAGAAAGAGAGAGAGAGAGAGAGAGTGTTAATATGCAAAGTATCCCCTTAGGAGACCGGGAGTTTGATAGCTTGCTGTGACATACACTGACCACCAGGGGACAGTGTGGAATGAAGGAAGGCCCCAGCTGGCAACCCAAAGGTCCCAATGGGCCCTGATCACCAGCCAGGCCTAGGGACCCTACCTGTGCACAAATTTCATGCACTAGGCTTCTAGTATATACATAAATATAGATCTGGAAGGCTCTACCACAAGTTTATAACAATGGCTATCTCTCAAGAAGAGACAAGAATTAGGGTCAGGGTGAAAGGAGGTTTGTAAGACTTGTTCAGCATGTATTTCCCCTCTGCCATTTCTAAATGGAACAAATATTGGTCAAGAATTCTATGCCAACCCCATGTTTTTATCTAAACCAATTATGGCCATCCCATCCCCCCTGGCAGTCACTCCCCTGGCAATGAGTCAGCTACCTCCACCCTCCAGATATCCAGAGTGGGAGTCAATCCTGAGCCAGCTCTTCTCATTGCAAGTGCCATGTTATAACTCTCAGAGCAGCTCCACTGAAGCATCTTCATTATCAGCTTGGAGATAAGTAGTGCCCCTTAACCTGTACCCCCAAATTTCTCTTTACATATATTTCTCACAAAATCATCTCTTCCCAACTACTCTCCAATCCACCAACACTTTTATATTCTTGAAAGTTTGGGGGGAATTTCAAGAGGTATGGAACCAATTCGGGAACATATCCTTTGAAAAATACACATATAATCTGATGCCTACAACTTTGTTACCTGATATGTATCATATCATCACCTCTAAGCCAAAACTCCTAAATTAACATCCTGTCATTACATGTATTACATGAAGAGGAAATGGTATTAGACAAAAGAACATGGTCATTGAGGACATATAATACCCCAACCCCAAATGCTGACTCTGTAGAAATTACAGGAATGGTGATGAGGTCAACAGAGGATATTTTGAGGACATGCAACCAAATCACGCAGAAATGGCTATCAATGACATGCTAGAGTCTTCATATGTGATTTTCAAATTCTGCTCAGAAAGTTGGAAACAAAAAAAAGGAGATGTATGTACTAATTTGTAATATTTTAAGCAATAAAACAAAATTTAAAAGAAAAAAAGAGAAAGTTGGAAACAGAAATTTCAAGTAGCACATGATCCATCCTTAAAGAAAAAGGAATATGAAAACATTTATCATAGCCTAGAATCTAGGCCCTAGATTAACAGGAAATTGGTTGCATTATAGGATAAGGTAAGATGTGCGTACATGCACTTATGTGTGTTTGTTATATTAAAATGCCTTCCCCAAAATTTTCTTTGATATATTTAAAGGAAATGAGCCAAGCAGAAACTGTAAGTTTTCAAATAAGCATGATGATTTGAAATGGTTTCCATTCCAAACTGTTAAATTAGTCACAGAAAGCTTTGCAAAATTCCAGGTACTAATCCAGTTGCTAATATGATTTGTTAGGCTCTGAAATATGATTCTGTAGGTCTGCATCACTTACTCTACTCACCTCTGAAGCTATCTCTGAAGCTTTTTTGGCATGTTGTATTTCAAGGGTATCAATGCCAACGTGCATTCCTTTCCCTTTAATTTCTGACTCCAGGTCTTTCTTGTATTCTTTCTGAAAAACAGCAATATTTACAACATTCAGACACTCAGGGGACGATCATGTTTGTATTCAATGATACCAAAAAAAAGGCTTAACATATATATAAAGAAAAGAAAAAGAAAATACCACAGCGAAGTGCTATGAATGATCACCTAGAACTAAAGTCTCTGAACCTCTTAGAACTCTCATCACTATTCTCACTGAAAAAAGTATATAAAGTTCTGAAGACTTTTACTGTAAATAGGCAGTGAGAATCTTCACTGACAACTGTCCTGGGGTCTGGAGGACAGGGAGGCAGGTTTAAGTGAGTGGATGCTGTAAAAAGACTGACTTTGAGGCCCTGACAGCTGTGTGACACTGGAATGTTTCTTAACATTTCTGGTTCACTAATATGCAAAATGGGATAATGAATGGGATAATGATTCCTCATGAAGGATCACTGTGAGGGGTATTCAATAACTGATAGCATCTTCTGGTCTTTCACTCCTCATCCTATGCACTAAGACCTGGTTTATTGCTGCTCTAGTCACCATCTTACCATTCAACTGCATTTGCCTAGACTCTGCCACTGAGGGTTCAAGACAATTTTTTCCAAATATTATGACAAAGGATTGTATTTGTAAGTCTACGCTGGATATGTCACCATAATAAATGAATTTGTAGAAAAGTATTAATGTAGGAATATGCAATGATAATATGAGCCAAAGATGATGGTGAACAACTGTTATTTTTGCCTGACTAGTATCCATTCCTCCCTCTTCTGGCAAAAAGTTCCATAATTTTCTTTTCAGGAATTACCTGTAACCCTTCTCAATCCATACACTTTGGGTTGGTTGATTTTCCTACTCTCCACATATATTTGTAAATCCACTAGAATGCTTTTAATGGTTTCTTTAATTTATTTAAAGAACGGGAATATGGTCAAAGATGAATGTAAATTTTTTAAAACACATAACAACTTAGAATATTTTACACTTAAAACACTGTTAAACTACTTCAGAAGTTAACTATACAAGTGGATGACCAGGAGAACCATCTGAGGTCATCAGCACAGTATAGTCCCCTGACCTTAGACACAATTACTGGGTCAGGTGTGGGCACAGGATAGAAGCTGATTTGGTGAGAGTCAATCTTTGGACTTAAATTATAACTACAAGAATTCAGATGCTCACTTCCCACTGGGATTACTGGCCACAAATATAGTTATCTTGTCATTAAGAGGGGCTATCACTTAGAGACAGCCTCCCAACAGTGAAGCAGCAGAGAAGATAATGGGACTAAGAATGGGGAAGAGAAACATTTGAATTCCAACCTGAAGGAAACATGATCTTTGGACTTCTCTAGTCAAAACCCAAAACATTTCCTTTGTTGCTCAACCCAGTTTGCGTTGGGTTTCTGTCATTTGCAATCTGACTAACAGGGTCATCATCATCATCATCATCGCCACAGTTTATTAACAAAAGGGTATAAAGCTTTGGATTTTTTTCACTGCTAAATTCAGCCATATTCTCCTCAAAGCACAGTGCCATTGTTTGATACCAAATTTCATGATGTAAAGTGAGCAGTGGCTACTTCCATGTTAATAAAGAGATTTAAGTAGACTCATACAGCATTCTATGCAAGGATTGGGAGAGTTGGTTTGTCAGCACGTGAACATTTAAGCTGCAGTTACCACTAGACTGTGATAACACAACTCCCTAATCTTCTGCCCTTTAATTACTTAAAAGATCAAGTTATAGCTCATAAACTCATATTGGTTTATAATATAGATTTGTCTCTAAAACGGGCAAATAGTCATTTTTCTCATACTATATAAAAAGAAGATAATGAGCATCATTTAAAAAAATCATTGATTAGGAAAAGACTACTAGGACATAGCTACTCATGATCATCTTACACATAAAAGTTGTGGACTATATAGAATATATATATTTTATCTATAAAAATGTCTATTATATTTTTATTTGTACCTATTAAAAAATACAAAATCTTTGAGAAAGATTTATAGATGACAAATCAGCTAAAAGTTCATACATTCCCCGCTGTAAAAGAAATATACTCACCTCACTAGCTATTTCAGAGGCTCGTTTTGCTCTTTGAACATCAAGAACTTCTGAATTAAGTTCCATTCCTTTCCCTTTTATTTCATTTTCCAAATCTTTTCTATATTCCTTCTATGATATAAAAATAATACAATCTGAAATTTATTGGGAATCTCTTTAATCTTTACACAGTTTTATTTATTTTCTAGAAACCACAGAAAGGAGAAACTATTTCTAGGAAAGAATGAATCAGACTCCTGAGCATTCATGCTCCTTATTTCCCACAGAAAGTTTCTCTTTGAAACATGTTTAGAGTGGCTTCCACTATTATCCGTCTTTTCCCTTTCATCCTTTCTTCCGATATACTTTGGTACCATATTGGTGCCACATTTTTAAAAATATCTTTCTTTCAAATTGTGAGGACGATCTTAGGAATACATGCTTCTTTTTATTTTTTGAAGTATTTTGCAAAAACTGTCTATAAAATATGAATCACCAAAAGAACATAGTTGAAAAGAATGAAAAATTACAAAATCAAATGGATTGGTGTAGCCAAAGTTTTAAAATAAGTTTCCATTTTATTCAAAGCTCATAAAGCTAAATAATTTCCTAGTTAGTTAATAATGTAATGTTTGAATATCACCTATTTCAATATTATATTTTAAGTAAATCTAAATGTTTTTACTAACACGTGTAATAACTTGAGTTTTTTTGTACTAATGAATTTCTTGTTTTCTTACTAATCACATTATGAAAATACCTTAATCCAATTTGACTAAGTTGCACTTATGGAAGATGAAACTTTCTTTAGTGATAAGAAATCATGTTCCAGTTCATTCTAGGTTTTGCTTCCTGTTATTTTCTCTTTGTACACTATAATGATGTTAGCTGGTCCTCTGCTTAACTAATAGCCTACAAGACATTGTAATGACCTGCATGTAAATTTGGAAAGAGCTCTAAGCGTCAAATGACTTGTAGAAAAGAGTTACTTTAATAATTTGGTTATGCGACCTTCAAGAAGACTTTAAGTAACTGACCTTGATTTCCACATGGACAAAATTAAAATTAAAATACTGATCTACCAATGTTAAAGGCTAATGGTGAGAATCAAATGAAATGCAGCATAAAATGATATTTTGAACACTCTAAATGGCAAGATATATGTAAAAACCATAATAAAGTAAAAAAATGAAAAGACTACTTAAAGCTAAATGCTTCACTTAGAAAGGGAAGTTACAATTTCATTAAGTGACTAAAAGTACCTTTTTAAAATTAGACATCTCTATAACGTAATTAAAAGTTTTTTAATTATAGACTTCTGGGCCTTTTTCTATTCTATACATGCTGAATCAATAAATCTAAAAAAAAAAAATTCACTCAGAAAGAGGAATAAAAGAAAAAGGTAATGATATACTATTAAAGTCATTAATGGATTCAAAATAGAGCTCACATTGTCATTTGTATGTAAATTATGAAAGGATTCCCCTTTTAAAAAATCACATAAGTAGTGGATATTTCTTATGTTTTTAAAATATGCTTTTATTGATTTTTTAGAGGGAGAGGAAGAGATATGGAGAGATAGAAATACCAGTAAGAGAGGAACATCAATCAGCTCCCTCTTGCACGCCCCCTACTGGGAATCAAGCCAGAAACCCGGGCATGTGCCCTGACTAGGAATTGAATGGTGACCTCTTGATGCATGGGATGGCACTCAACCAAATGAGCCACACCAGCTGGGCAAGAGTAAATATTTTTTTAAATGGAAATCAATAAGAGTAGGAAGTTGCCACTTGATTAGCTTTCAACTTCAAAATACTTTATAGTAATGAAAGTGAGCAAAGATAAGGTAGCAAAAGAACTCTTCCATAAATTATACACCTATTACAGCCCAACATATATTACAACAGTGAATCACATTAAATGTGTAAAAGCAGTCAAAAGATAAAGCCCAATTGGCACTTCATTTTTTAAATGATGCACTTCTATGTAGGTAATTATACACTCTTATTTCATTGGTTTAAGACATTTCATTCAAGAATAATTTCTTCAGTTCAAAATTCAGCATGAAATGGAGGTCTTTAATGCTTTCCCTTAATGTAAAAAGAATCTATTTAAATAGAGAGTTGGAAGAGCTCCAAGCTACTTTGTAACCATTTAAAAAAAAAAATCTACTCAGAGGGAAGGTAGGGGTGGGTGGGTAGGAAGAGATCAACCAAATAAATTGTATGCATATATGCATAATCCATGGACACAGACAATAGCGTGGAGAAAGCCTGGGGTGGGGACCAGGGTCAGGCTAGAAGGGGTTAATGGGGGTTGGGGGACATATGTAATACTTTCAAAAATAAAGATCTAATTTAAAAAAATAAAACTTAAAAAAAGGAGACAAAACGTTTAAACAAGGGATAATCAGTGAGCATGGTATTTCTATTAGATTTGAGGACCTTAATGTTCAATAAATTTAATACACTAATTGTGCGCCAAATGCACCACTAAATTTAAAGGGAAACCCTGCTGAGAATAAAATAAAAAAATGGACATAAGTTCTTGTGTTCAATGTGCTAAATATATCTTCCCCGACTCAGAACACAAACCACTTATAAGTAATGTACCATTTATCCAGACCTTCACACATGAGCACCTTATTTCTAATATCAACTGTCATGAGAATGCTGCAGGGGAGTTTGAGACAAAGCTGGTTCTAATATGGAAATTAAAAACTCTATTAGTAAAGGTCAAAGTGAGGGGAAAAGTAACAGATTAATATCTGAAATTCATTGAATTAATAGAGAATTGTTAAATAAATACTTCCAGGGTTATTCCTTTAGTTTTTAGTTTCTTTTGCAATAATGGTAAATATCAGGATCATACCTCCTTCAGTAAGTTGGTGATGTACTTTACATGCAGAAATTCTGGAGTCTTGTCTAAATCCAGTGATGACCTTCCTTTAATCTCTCTCTCAAAATCCTCTCTGTAAACTCTCTGTTAAATAAGATCACATAATTTTTAAATTAACAACATACTAGTGCCTGTTGAAAAGATATTAGAACAAGAGTCCCCAAAATAAAATTGATATTTTCCTTATGCAATATTACCACCTCAGTCTTCTTATCAACAGGGAAATAACTCCAACTTTATCATAAATTTCAGAATTCTACAAACAACAGTAGAATCATCAAGTACCAACTCTCTCTGGGAAAGCATTCTGAGTGAGGCTGCTTAACATCTTATTGTCTGTTATTGTTTAGCGTCAGCCCATTTGTGGAGGAGAACCAAGAAAGTTGGCTATGCGATTGGACCACCTGACTGGTTCACTCAGTAAAGAGTGGATCCATCCACTAGAAGAAAAATCTGGCAGCATGGAAGCCCATTCCAACCAAAGCAGCATTAATGTTCATGTCCTCATCATCCTTTTCACTGTCTGTGTTTTGTGAATTCAGAAAAGACAATTTATAAAATGTACTGGAGGCAGGAGGGGAAGATTTTCCTTTACTGATTTTGGCATTGAGAATATTTCTCTAGCGTCAGAGTTTGATACGAATTAAGTTACACTGTGAGGAGAATCTTATCTTGAACCTGGGAAATGATTCTTTAAGTAAGTGTTCCCGATAAGAAATGAAAGATGCCAACAGTATCTTGGAGAGCCTAAATCCAAACCCACACCTGTCCTTCTGACACTCTGACACCCTTCGGCTATGGTTTTCTAAACTCCACACATCTGCAAATCAATAATAACCCACAGTATATGACTATAAAGACATTCTAAATAAATATCCATTCATGTGAAATATTTACCAAACAAGAGCCAAAATTTACCAGCTAAATATTTGATTCAAATTGAATCACAAAGATAAAAATAAATTCTGCATGAGATTGCCATAAATGCAAAATGAAAAGCTATTTCCAGGTTCATTATGTACTTATTACAGAGATAGGCAATTATAGAAAGAAATTCTCCATACCACAAGGGAGGGTAAGAGAACAGGCCGTCTCCTCACCTACATTTGTGCTACATATTTAACAAATCTAAGAATAGCCAGAGAAAAATCCACAATGGATCTTCCATAAATACCGAAACTACCAAAGCTAGATAAGAAGTTGTATTGAGAACATTCTGAGTTAAAGGAACTATAGACATACCAAAGAACAATAATGAAAAGTTGTCCTATAGGGCTCAATCTAGGGCATTTCCAGGCCCAAAATGAGTCTTTAAAAAAGTGAAATATAAATATGTGTGTATTTATATTATTTCAGATACTTCACTTCAAAAAACCCTTCTCTTCTGAAAAACAATTATTTGACTTAAGTAAGTCATTAAGGAAAGTTGATTATGACTAAAATTGGCCAATATATGACTAAGGAGATTTGTACATTACTAAGGAGGTGTGTGTGTTGCGGGGGGGGGGGGGAGGACCTGTAGAATGCTTTTTGTTAGGAGAGCTTTATTTGTGAAACAGAAGACAAATAACTTTTCAAAACCAGATTTAGAGATTTCTTCTAGCACACAGTGATTCATCCTATATCTGGTATTAGAAGAAAGTGAGAGAAGCATAATTATAGGCCATAACAAAAACGTGAGTGGCTTTTCCTGAGATGATCAACACTTAAGCTTTACACATAGGAGGCTGGCTCCCCAAGAAGCTCATGGTCAAGTTGACCTCTTAGTCCTAAACATCAACTCTTTGTATCTAATTCATTGCTCCTGCATCTAAATACATTTTTCATATCCAACTTCATCTAACATGTTTAGACATTTTATTTTTCTATCATAAAATGTATATGCTAAATTACATAGAATAAATTTCATATTATAAATTGTTATAGTATAAATTTGGTCCAACGTTATTTTCTGTTGAAAGATTTCTTTCTCCTTAAGCCCTGATAAGCAGAAGCATAATGCTGAGCCTAAAAATCAAATAGCCAGTGTCTGTCATTGAAGGGAAACACGTCTTAGCCTCTGCAAATGAAGTTCATCTGACTGATTTTATTTTGTCAGTTCTTGATATTTAATTTTCCTTTTGTGCTGTGCAGCCACAGCAACGGTAAAAGCCAAGTGCCATCTATCAGACTTCAAGATTTGCACAAGGAAACATGCTACGTCGAATGTATAGCACTTGTTCAGGACTGAGGGCACCGTTGAAGTCCTTGTCATCTACACAGTGAAATTTGAACATGGGGGATCTTTTCTCTTTCAAAGGACCATCCTCAATGGAAAAAAAATAAACTGAGCAGTTCATGTAAATTAAGACAATTTGGTCTAATTTTCCCATTGATTTTTTGAGAAGCACATATCTATATGTTTTGGAGTATTTTAACTGGCTTAAGAAGATGAAAAATATACGTAATTATTTTCTCTTCTCTTGCTTGAAGAAAAAATTAAACAACTTAAGATTATTCAACAAGCCAGTCATATCTGAGGACCCTTTCTCTGAGAAGATGAATTATAACATCTCAACAAATAGCATCTATAATGTTTATGAAATCCTTACGAGTTTTATTGTCCAGAGTTCTCATTTCTCCTTGTTTTCCTGTTGTTATTGGAGAACAGAAAAGGTCTTGTCCATTGAGCCTTCCTGAAGTGGAGCACTGGGGTGTGATCAGCTGATACCACTGCCCGTTATTTTTAACCTTTTGAAGGAATAATCTTGTTGTACCCACATAATTGGGATGTTGGCTGCAGACAAAACTTTCTGAGTTTGTGTGGGAAACAGTTTATTGTCTTCACTATCTGATAAGCATAGACAGAGAACCCTCCCCCCACCCCTCCCCCCAAGGCTGGGTGCCTTTGAAGCCCTAGCAAAGGTCGGAGCTAGGCGCCACCTCTGTTTGTCCAGACAGTGGTAGCTGAAACTACTCCCCCATTTATTATTATGTAAATCCTTGCTCATGGGCTAGTCTGCTTGTTACTAGGGGGTCACCTGCCTAAGGGCTATGCTATGGGTACATCCCAGAATCAATAAAAGCTTGGTGAGGCCTGAGCACGGGTGGAAGTCCTTCCCCTTGAGTTGGACTTGCCCACCTGGTCCCCCAATATTTCCAAATTATCTCTTGTCTTTTCTCTTTCATTTGTGTGCGGCTCTGCTTCCAGTTCCTGAACCCTGACCCACGCGGGACGTGGGAAGGAAACACTCAACAGTTTGGTGTCTCTTCCCTGCCCCCCAACCCAAAATAGGAAAAAGAAAAAAAAACAGGAACAGAAGAAATCATCCTGGGACAAGACAAAACCAGTGAGGGGTATATGTGGATGAGACTTAGTATAGCTTAAGTGGAGAATGAAGTGGGTAAGTGGGGGAAAAACTTATGACTTTGCCCACATGGACATAGCCTATGATTTCCTCGGTCTCCTTGTGCAGGGTCCTCTAGACCCACTAAACATTCTGAACCACTTCCCTGGTTCCTTTTAAATGATAAAACATCAAGTATGTGTTGAACAGTTGAAAACAAACCAAAGGGACTCGCCTCACTCTGCATCTTCTGGGCCTCCTTTGAAGCTTGATATGATGGTGTCTCAACAAATTCAAGCATCGATTTCCCCTTATTTTTTTCATATTCTTCTCTGTACTTAACCTTTATTGAAAAAATATAAAAAGCATATAAAGCTCACGAGCCCTTATGCAAATAGACCAAAGTAAAATAAGTATGTCCCAAATTGATCATTTTTCTAAAAATCACATTATTCTGGTGTGCAGGTTGATCCCTGAGTTCCCTGTAGTTAATGACATGCAAAGAAAGAGGTAAGATATATATATATGAAACTTATGAAGAAACAAAAATAACTTATAATTACTAAATAAGGTAGTTCTAGGACTTGAATAAAGGATTTAAATAGCTGGCATGGCACATATAGATACATATCATATACATGGGGCTATATATGTATATACACATATACTAGTATATAGAAAGACAGAGAGCGAGAGATCCTGTGATAGCTGGAATGCCTATCAGTAAAGCATGAACAAGAGGGAAAACATAGTTGTGATTCTCTCTCTTTTTGTCAAAGGGATGACAGTATTTTCTGGGATTGCTGAATTTTTCCATAGACATTAAGTAAAACACACATAGAGCTCTTCTATGATTTCTTTCAGTTTCACTAGGCATCATTTAATAACGAGAGTTCATGCACAGGTGGGGTCCCTCCCAGCAGATCAGGGCCATCTTGCCCAGTCCTAATCGGGGCCAATCAGGGCCAATTGGGGCCAGCTAGTCACGGGGAGGAACCATGGGAGGTTGGTTGTGGGAGTGCACTGACCACCAGGGGGCAGCTCCTGCGTTACACCCTCTCACAGTCTGGGAGAGAGGGGACAGGGGGCCACAGTGGGAGGGGCTGGGCAAGTGCACAGAGGATGAGCCGAAACCCACCCCTGTGCCCACCACAGCCTCACAGCCCACAGTTCCTTTCAAGGTGCATGAATTCGTGCACTGGGCCCCTCGTTAAAATATATATATGCTCTCAAGGTAATTGGCTTTTTAGCAACATTAAAATTACAAAATTAAAATCATAGAAAAGTTTTATCATGATTCATTTCATTCAGAAATGTACTTTCATTTACATTCTATGTTTAATAATTAATAAAATTATTTCTTAAGTTGCATAATAATAATTTTAATGATAATTAAATCCAAAAGAAATTTTTCAATACTTAGAACTTTACTGTACCAGGAAACTTAACAAATTTTAAAATTCCTATTTGTAGGCATATTTTTGTTTCAAAGAAGTATGACAGAGTGATCAATGAAAGTGTTTTAATTATAATAACATACTACATTAAGATAAAATTTTACAGAAAAAATAAAATGAAAATAAGAATTGTAAGAGAAAAATATCAATTTCTATATCTTAAAGAAGAGCTAGTTTGTGTATTTTTTAAATAATGGATGTGGGTATCATATCATTATCAAATTTATGTTCCACAGGATACATTTAAAAGAGTTTTGCAAAATTTAAATTAATAGATGTTGGAATGACATATTTTTCAACTATTGGAACTCAGAACAAAAAAAAATACATAGATACCAACTTCAAAGTGTGCAAGAAGGAAAATATTTTTAAACATTTGTTCAGGGAGTACATAGAATTTCACAATTGAAATAAACATTAATGTAGACTATACTGGCAAGATATAGTTTTACCATTTTCATAATATGAAAAATTATCATAAACTTTGTGCCTGGAAAATTTATTTTGCAGCACAAAATGACAAATCAGTACACAATAAAAATTTAAATCATGAGATTTGATCATCATTTAACACATATATTGTAAGTTTTAAATTGTGTGGATTTACTGTTATGTTATAGAATGGCTGCACACTGAAACATGATTTAAGCTTCCCAAACTCAATAAATACTGAGAGAAGAGTGTCTGAGGTTTTCAAAAGCAACACGTGTCTTCAGCAGCTTCACGCTCTTGGTGGAGGTGCAGGGCCGTGGGAGGTCAGGGGTCCAGGCTGGGGGGGCACATACCTGACTCTGCAGGATGGCGTTGCCTTTGTGGTGCAGGTGATCTGCAGCGTCCGAATCAAAATGATACATGCCTTTGTTTTCCTCAAAAATCTTCCTATACTCTCGCTAAAACAGAGAACGTGAAAATTAATTCAGAATAAAAGAGGCTGATTAGAGTAACTAATACTTAGGAATGCAAACTGAAAAACACAAGCCAGCAAGAGCCGGAAAGCTCCCATCTGCCGTCGGCTCGGTCATGTGGATGTCTAGCAGTGAGCTAACCCGACAATGCCAGGTAGACCAGCTCTAGGTGGCCAACGTGAACAGCGTATGAAATACTCAAGAGAAGCAGAGGACAATTATGCTGTAAATACAACATAAAAGACAGTCACAACGCTGGGAGTGGCAATGGAAAAGCCGGGCATGAGACTAGAGTACATAGGCAAGGCGAGCAAAATGGAGGCCAGTTGTCCTGTCCTTATCCTAGAACAGGTGTGTGTTTAACAGCATCTAAAAGAAGAAAGAGCAGAGGAAAGTCGGAGGGAGGCAGACAGAAAGAAGCTGTGTACTTCTCAGCCATGAGGAAAGTGGATGCTCATCGGGACAATGAGAGAGTGAGAAATGATTCAACTAATTGTCCCAACGGAGAGGTTAGGGGGTGTCTGAGAGAGAAACTGAGAAACTAGAGACAGTCGATTGAAATTTTAGGGTAAAGAAAGTGAATTAAGACTATTTAGATACACAGACAAAACAGTGAATTTGGAAGATACCAGAATGGCTAAGCATGCCAAATTTGGCAGCTATAGGTCTCTAAGTAAAATAGTCACCAATAAGACAAAAATCGCTTCATAATTTTATACTTGGATATTGGACACAGTGATTTTGCCATGTTTGGGGAAGACGTTTGGAAGTAAATGGTAATTCTCAATGACTCAAGGCTACAGAGACTTGAGCTAAAGTTGGTTGCTCATTAGGCAGTGAGGATTTCAGTGACAATGGCTGCTTTGTGTAGAGTGGGGGAGAGGTGAGCAGCATTTGAACAGGAGCAGGAAAGGCCTGCCATAATGAAACTGACATTGGGTCTTAGCAGATGCTCAGACATCTGAGAGTGAAGCAGGAAGAGGCCCCCGTGCCGGAGATGGGAGAACTGCTGTTCCACAGAGATACAACAATGGTCCCCAGGGCACTTTCAGGCAATTAGAGTGATGTGTGTGTCCCCAAACTCTAACCAGAATAAAGGAAGAAAAAAAGGCCCCAGGAAGCTCATGATAACATTCACATCGTACATCTTGACTGAAGAGAGTTAAAACCAAGAACTAATAAAGCCCTGGATATTATGTCTGGAATAATAAATCTATCCTGAGAAAAGGTCAATGAATTATCATCCCCAAAGCAATGATCTATTTTAGTTATGGAGAATTTCAGAAACTCCTATTTTTAAAAATTAAATAAGCAAACAAAACCTATTTGAATTAAGATCTGCAAACAAGCTTTTAGTACTTGCTGTTCCTTATATAATAGTCTCTGTTGCCTCCTAGTGGGAGTTGCACAGAGCAACACACCATATATACTTTTAATTTATGCAAAGTTATAAACTGAAAGCTACTGGAGTTCTATTTTCCAGGGGGAAATGTTCCCTCAAAAATGTAATTAGTATAGCTACACAAACTCATAAGCACTAATTTCACTCTACACATTAAATATTAAAATTTTAAAAAATGTTGATTTATACTAAAGACATTTAGAGGTCTTTAAAAACATCCATTTATAACAAACTGACAACTAATTCTGGCAGAATGTCTTTTTATTAAGCATTCTCTTGTTCAATCTTTTAATAAAATTAAGTTGCCTTTATAAATCTACAAAATTCCAATTCTCTTTACATTAAAATTTAAAATAAGGCAATTCTATGTACAATAAATTTGAGCCAATATATGATCATACAACTTTAATAAACAGTTTGATACCTCAGAGTAATGCATTATGTGACTTAAACTTTTTCTCTTGTGAAGTAATCCTTAAGTCACAATTCTACTATGAGGCAAATGGTCTATACTCTAGGCAAAAGCACCAACTGAACAGAGATTTAAACTTTATAAATGGTATATAAAATAAATGTAATATATGACTTTGTGGGGGTTTTCTGTGGAAGAGATGATAAAAATAATTTATATTAAGCTATTATTTTCACCATTATAATAAAAGTCAATATTCTTGAAAAGAGATATTGCCTATAATATTGCATATATTCCTCCAACTACCAAGTTTTTTCATTACCAAGATAATTTATTGGCATATTTACACATGAATCCTCATGTCCTAAGAAAATTTAACCCAAGTATGGATGAGGAATACTCAAGGGCAAAATGCCAGTGAAAGGATCAAAACCGGACAACGACTGAACATGAGCAAAGCAGCTCAGAAAACAGACACGTATTGAATTTAGAAGCAGACCTATGAGTCATGGGGGAAAACCTGGAACTGAAACAGACACTCAGCGAGCAGAGGAATGTGTGCAGAGGTGTACAGATGAGCATGTTTCCTGGAACAGCAAGAAAGCGTGAATTAAGTGTCCTGGGACTGAGTCTAATTCTGGGCCTGATAGCCCTCTAACCTTCATTCTCTGCTCAACAGACTGAACAGAATAATGGGCTGCTTTTCCTTCAAAAAAAAAAACAAAAAAAAACACTGATCACAATTATCTGCGAGTATGAATTATTTACATGCACAGTGCATTGCAGAAGGACAGCATGGGTGGTGGAAAAAGGAGGATCACTACATAATGAACACAAGTTTCAATACATCAAGCCAAGGGTAGACATTTTCAAACCTGAACTGAAGCTGTATCTCCTTATTTAATAGTTTGGAAACCAGCTCGGCCAGTGTGGCTCAGTGGTTGAGCATTGACCTATGAACCAGGAGGTCACAGTTTGATTCCTGGTCAGGGCCCATGCCCAGGTTGCAGACTCAATCCCCAGTAGGCGGTGTGTAGGAGACAGCTAATTAATGATTCTCTCTCATCATTGATGTTTCTATGTCTCTCTCCCTTTCCTTTCCTCCCTGAAATCAATAAAAACAAAATACTAAAAAAACAGTTTGGGAACCAGGTTTTAGCTGCAGGTCTATGACTACGGGCACATTTGAGGACAACTCTTTTCACTTTTTCACATTCCTTGCCCAACACACTTTCCATCTAACCTGTACCTGGCCCAAAGCAGGTATTCAATAAATTTGGATAATTTGAGTGAATGGGTGAGTGAGTGATTATTAAAATAAACGTAGAATAACCTGAGGTCAAATTAGAGTTCATCACCACCGTGGGGCATTCTAAGATGTAGAAAATGCAGGCACAGGTGAGCCAGATCACCAGTTATGAGCACCAGTGACATCACTAAGTGTTTGAAAGAACATCCAGGAAGTGAGTGCTGACGGAAGGACCCACTTGGTGAGATATCCAAACACTGTCATCAGAACAGGAAGAAATCACCCTCCACTCTTAGTAGCTCTGAAGAAAACTGGGAACCTTCACAAGACCAAAAGTAAAGTGTGAAAGCCTTTAGGATTTATTTTCAGAGAAAACACAAATTAGACGAAGACAATTTTTTATGTCACTGAAGCCTATTAAACATCAGACACTCTGCCCTGGCCTGCATAAAATAAAAGATCTGTCACTTAAGAGTCTGAAGCCTTGAACTGAATACAGAAGAAGAAGAAAGGAGAAGAAGAAAGACAGAAAGAACTATGAAGTGTAGTTATTCAATAAGAAAGTTTGCATTCAAAAGATATTAAAGGGTTGGCGGGGGCAGGGGGGAAGCCCTTTGTAAAGCAACAGCTTTGGTGGGACATAAGCGAGCAGACCACTACTTTTCAATGAGTTAGTTATTCAGGGAACAGTGATGCCCGGCCACACCTAAGGAAGCAGGTGCGCTCAAGAGCACTGCAGGCACAGCGGCTGGAGGAGGCCACACCACACCTACTGGTACAGCTACCACAACCACTTACTCTGCTGAGCATTTTGCTGACTTTCAAAGCATGGTCTAAAAACAAGGTTGGGAGATCCGAAACTGGATCGTGCATATTTTGAATGTCTTTCTTGTACTTCACCTATGAAAATAACATGGAACACAATACCATCTAGGAGGAGAAAATATGCTTTTGCATTATTGCCATTATCATAAAGTACTAGTTAGTGGTAAGCTGGCAGATGAATTTGAACATAGCCACTAGATGGTGCTCATTTACTACTGAATGCATTGTAAAGAGTTATTTCTAAGGACTTGAATATATTTTGATAATTCCTTTTTTTGTTTGTTTTATATATTAAAAAAGGGGTGATGTAAGCAGAATCGAGTAAATTTAATGGAAATTCTGCTTGCAAAACATAAAGAGAAATTGCTACTGTATTTTGATTGTGCTTTGTGGCAATATGGAAGCTTCTGGTATTTTCATGCTATTGCCATATAAATCTTTTTACCACCTGCTTTAAAAATATAATAATATCAGTAATAACAATAAATAAAATGTTAAAAATAGAAAATGTATTGAGCACTTACTCTGTGCCAAACACTTTCCTAAGCACTTTATATGTATTGAATATTTAGTCTCCATAACAACCCCAGTACGTAGGTACTTTAAGTATCTCCCATTTTACAGATGAGGAAACAGGCACAGGAAGATGAAGGTATGATATTAAGAGACAGAGCAGGATTCAAATACAGGCAATCTGATTCTAAACCTTGTGCTTTCAGTACTATGCTCTAGGTTCCTTGAAGTATATTGCAACTCTATTTGCATTATATTTTTACCTACACACACACACACACACACACACACACACACACACAAATACATAAAAAAGAAATCATTTTGATATTCCCAGTGGTTCTAAAAGACAGAAACACCCTTTTTAATTTCTGGTGACAAACAAAATAATAATATTGGTTAATGAACACAAATAACAATACCTTGTAAACATTAATGAAAGTAAGATATAAGTGCCAGGATATGACAGAAGTTTCAAAGTGTAAATGACCTAACAAAGCAACAATTCAACAGTAATTCATCTTAATGTTTGAAAGGGTGCTCTGTACATCCTGCAACTACAGCAAAATGATCAGTTTCTTTCTATGTTTGCTTTTATACTCTGCCTAATTCTAATAAAAAATAAGACATTTTTTCTTGTAAATTTGAACTTGATTATTTTTAAACACATGAAATGAAAACAAATCTTGTGAAGAAGTGTTACATCATTTACAAAATGGATAAGAAAGGAATTGTTAGCCATTACAGGTACAATTTCTGAAAATGTCTTTATGATAAACTAGCATGTGCCAGGTAGCACTTTACAATTAGCCCCTTTTCATGGGTATTGTTATATGAGTTAACTACTATCATAATCACTAATTTATGATACTGCATTCTACTTTTCTACGAGCTCTGCAATCCATTTCTACTCTTGATCAGACATAATAGTCTTATTAGCAATACTATTATAAACTAATTAGTATTAGTAACTATTAATAGTAAATAATAATAATACATTTTTTTCTCAAAAAAAAAGCTTCAAGAAAATATGCTTCAGTGCTTCAACTAAAATTGGTTGGAAATTACATGGTTTTGTTTCATTACAACACAGCCAATTCTGAGAAACCAAGAATCAAAATATATTGAAAATAATTTTCTATGAATTATAAACCATGGGATACTTACATTGCTTGCCAGCTCAGTGGCAAGCTGGCTTTGCTTAAAAGAAACACTTTCAAGGGGATTGTAATGATGTTTCTTATCCTTCATTTCATTATCAAATTTTTCTTTGTATTTAATCTGCCATAAAAGAAAAAACAGGATAAATTTAGTAGCACATTTATCATTACACTTTCAAAATAGCACATTTGACTTGTAATTAGATCAGATTAAAAGCTACCTTAAAAACGAATGATAGCAAAGTTTAAAATTCCTCATATTTTCACACATATTAAGTTTAATTAGGCATAAATTTTTTATTAAAAAAACAACCTCTACTTGAACACTGATCCTAAATGCAATTAGGCATGAACGCAAATCCTATTAACAAGAATATGCACTGAATCTCAGGATTTTTAAATATCACTTTCCATTTCTGCATTCCTATAATCTATGATTAATTAGAAATTTAGACCATAAATGAATTAAAGTTTTCCACATTTAGAAAAAAATGATCCTAAGCCCCAGAATTTGAATATGAATTTTCCTGAGGGAATTGTTCCAAATGTAAAACATGCTTTGTATCATGGTTTTTCTCACCATTTCCCATTTGTTCAAAAACTCATATTTAGGGACTATACTTTCTAACACGTCCTGGCTCTAATTAATGTCATTTTTTGTTCCTCTGCTTCAACTCCACAGTTATATTCAGCAATAAAATTAATTCTAATATTTAGTCTAAATTATTTTCTTATTTTTATAAGTAATCTTAGGGCAACCAAAGGAAGATTATCAAGTTATTCTACAGAACTGTACTTTGCTCCATGGATAGAGGAAAATAACTGTATGCTATGAGAACTAACTATATAGACACAAGTTCTTTACCAAAAACAAACAAACAAACAAAAGACTAACTACTCAAATTTCACATCCCCTTTGATTTCTGTAGCCAGGAAAGGATGCACAGACTTCAAAAGCAAATGTAAGCTGTTTTGTTCTCTTATAACATTTTTACCGTTATAATTCTTATAATATTTTACAACATTCTCATAATGTACCTTTATGCATACACAGTAAGGCTGTGCCTTAAAAGAGTGTTTATTAAAAAATAATTTGGAGATGGCTATTTTAATTGAGTCTAGTCTGTGTTGTCTCTCTGAGGGACATGTGTCTGGAATCTATGGAAGAGAGCTAGTAAAATTTTGATAGGAGTACTTTTGGAAAATATTTCAAGATGCCTTACAGCAAATATTTTCTGTTGTGGTTCCATTTGCCAATAAACTTTCTGATATTCACATTACCATTTAAATTCAAGCAAAACCTCATTTATTCTAATTATTTGGTGAGGTCTCCCTAAAACAAGAAACGCTCTGAATTAAAAGAAATTATTTTATGTCTTGAAATTGTGGACAAATCACCAATGAAATAAATTTGGAGTTCATTCACTATTTTCCACAGTAGCTGGCACCAATGGAAAAATTTGCCATATTTGCCCCTGCCCTAAACACACAATTTCACTGTCTTTGTACCCTTAACACCCCTTTGCTAGGGAACCTTCAAGATATTTTAATTGGTGATTGTGTTTCTCTCTAGCTTTTTAGTGCCTAACCGCTATTCCCTGGACAATGATGGTGGGTTCTCTTAACTGATTTCCCCTTGAATGGAACTCCTGACTCGGCCAGACTCACCAACACTCTCCACTTAACTTAGTAAAACATTCTGACTGACGGCCGTGGTGTCCAGAACACTCTTGGCTGGTAGCTATTTAACTAATCAGCTGATCCTACTGTGTACTATGGGCTTGCACCAAGTTTTCTTTTGATTATGCATTTTCCCCAACCCCAGGCACCATGAGTATCTTAGTTATGTATCAGCTAAATGGCAAATACAGGTTATATAATCCTTGTGCCCTCAGAGCCCAGCGTACTTTCCTCGCGCACCGTATCGTCCCAGCATGACTACACTAGGAACACAGACAACACAGAGGGGGGTGTGACTTGGAAATTAACCTGATAAATTCTCATGTCATTAAACCTGGCATTCACTCTTCCTGAGTAACGGTACCTTTCTGAAAAGCAGTAACAATCCAAGTTGTAATAATTAATTCCTTCCTCTACTCATTAAACATTGAGCCTGTGTTGAGTTCTTACCTGAGGATGGGAACAGTGATATGACCCAGACACACTCTGTGAAGACTGGTGTCAGTCATCTCTCTCCAAAGCAAATCTGATTAAATCACACACTTACAAATGGTTTAGAAGTAAGCTCCAGCATTTTTGCTCCCATTGGTATGCTGTAATCCAGCTGTACGCTGGCTAGGAGTCAATTGAGTTTGTGCCCCATCCTGTTTATGCTAGTTGTACTTATTATAATTACATAATTTAATTTAATGTTGTGAACACTGGCAAATTTACTGCAAAAAGAGTTTTATTATCTCTATGAAAACTATGTTATTTCTCTGAAAGACTTAATGAAGGCAATTACAAATTCAAAGAAATTGTTGTTAAAATAAGGGTGGTCAAGGACAACCAGAAAAGCCAGGAAGGGGCATATATATCTAGAGCTCAGATAGCTTAGCAATATATCTCTTTAAAATGTCTTTCAAAATTCAAATCATAAACAATGCAATATGAGTATGATTTGCAAGAAAAAACAGCAAGAAAAAACAACACAAGACTCCAAACTGAAGATTCATTTATGAAGAAAAAGACTTGTCACTACATCAAAATGTTGGTGAAATAAATGGGCACATATGTGTTCTGTGTTAAAATAAAATGTTATAATAGATTTTAATGAGAACTTTATTTTTGAAGATTTCTACCACTGTTTTGCATTAGGCTACACACATTAAAATTTGAATTTTAAAATGCTGTCTAACCTTTCCAGGTTATTCCTGTAGTGTGGGACTAATTATTTAAAGTATACCTGTCACTCATACCCTTATTAATGAATGTAATAATGAGCAAAGGGTTGTGAAATTTATCTTACTCTAACCTTCAGTACTCTGCATGATTTGATTCAAAAGTCCCTAAGAAAGAAAAATGCAAGAATTTCCCTCATTAATTAGCCACAAAGTATGATAACTGCATTATACTAAAAAATGCATTTACCGGACACTGACACCCAACCATTTCTTACCTCTTTCAGTAAGGATTGCACATAAGTAAACTAAGAAAATAGCCAAATGATTTAAATGGTTCCTATTGCTCACCTTCTGACTTGTTAACTCACAAACTACACCTGCATACCCAGCATTCTCTCCTATTTTCAACACACAGCTCACACATCTGAGTGTCTACCTCTTCATGTACACTCACATCTCCTAAGGGATCAAGGCAAAGTTTTTCTTTGATTATAACTGGCGACTCAACATGGAACAAAGGATCTCCAGTTTTAAGACCATATGAGACAAAAAGAGGTGTTGAGAGATTCTGCTTTGGTTTTAAGACATAATATTATCTCTTACCTAAATCAATTATTTCAGAAACAAATAAAAGTTACTTATACCTATGACTGATTTTACTTTAATGATGAATATTATATCTTACTAGAGGCTCAGTGCACAAAAATTTGTGCACTTGGGAGGGTCCCTCAGCCCGGCCTGTGTCCTCTCGCAGTCTGGGACCCCTCAGGGGATGACCACCTGCTGGCTTAGGCCCCCTCCCTGGGGGACTGGACCTAAGCTGGCAGTCAGACATCCCTCTGGCAGCCCGGGAGCCCTCAGGGGATGTCGCTTGCCAGCAGGGATCAGGCCTAAGCTGCAGTCAGACATCCATAGTGCTGCTGAGGAGGCGGGAGAGGCTCCCACCACCAGCACTGTACTGGCAGCTATCAGCCTGGCTTGTGGCTGAGCAGAGTTCCCCCTGTGGGAGCGCACTGACCACCAGGGGGCAGCTCCTGTATTGAGCGTCTGCCCCCTGGTGGTCAGTGTGTATCATAGTTACCAGTCATTCCCAGTCGTTCTGTTGTTAGGGTCAATTTGCATATTACCCTTTTATTATATAGGATGGTGCTGATGTTTACCAACGTTTTGTTGTTGTTGTTAATCCTCACTCGAGGATATATTTTTTCCATTGAGCTTTTTTAGAGGCCATGTAAGGGAGGAGGAGAGGCAGAGAGAGAGAGAGAAATATCGATGTGGGAGAGACACATTGATTGGTTGCCTCCCGCATGTTCCCAGATGAAGCCTGCAACCAAGGTACCTACCCTTGACCAGAATCAAACCTGCAGTCCTCCAGTGGCTGGGCTAATGCTCTAACCACTGAGAGAAACTGGCTAGGCTACCAACTTTTTAAAAATGTGGATAGGTATTTAGGGTTAAATGTCTTAGTGTTTTTTAAAAAAATTAACAGACTTAGCAGGGCTTTCAGAGACCACACTCAGAGAAAACACTGGAACTGTTAAATTACAATGATGTAACTTAAATTAGTTCTTTAGTGCCGCATCTGCACAAGGCAGTGTTTCAACAGTCTGAAGACAGACTTCTATACCACAAGGGAGTATAAGCTTCTGACAACATCTATGGCTCAGATTCACAATGAGTCAGAAAAGGCAGAAAAAAGCAGACCCTGAACAAAAGCTTTTCATCATGACTATAGAAACAAATATTAGAAAAGAAATGGAAAATGTGGTAAGTATAGCTTAATTATTAGTGAAAATGACAAGTAAACAGATAGCACAATGCCAAATATCTATAGGCATTAATTCCTTCCAATACTGGATAAAACTGAATTGGAAACACTGTCAAGCAAGAGAATAAAATAGATTTTTATGTAAAATTCATCATAAAATCAATAACATTTTAAGTCTGAATTTTAGACAAGATAACATTTCTGTCCTCACTTCTGTAACAAAATAATATCTTACTGATTTTGTACCAACTGTGGATGATCTCGAGAAATTTGTTCATTTGATATATATATATATATATATATATATATATATTTTTTTTTTTTTTTTTTTTTTTTTTTTTTTACTGAACACCTAATCTATGCCATTCTATAATGGTGGATTAAATACATATAAACCCTGTCCCCACAGAGCCTACTGTGCGGTAAATAAAGTAGATATCTAAAACACACATATACATATATGTGAATATTAAAATTTGTGTTAAGAACTATAAAAAAGAACAGAGAGAG